GTGTCCAACTTGTAACCCCTGGAGGAACTGAGTAAATGTGGTACTAGGTGTGCGAGGCCCACCTGGGGATTGTTGCCAGCAGCATAAGAAGCAAAACTGGAAAAGAAGAAGTGAGGCTGTTGGGAGCTGATAGAAGCTGTTGGGAGCCTGTTGGAAGTGGAGAGAAGCTGTAAAGAGCTGTTGGTTTTCTTGGAGGACTTATCATGCTGGCTTTCCTGATGAACTTGGCTGTTTTCATCCTCTGAGGAGCTTGAGGCCTTATTGTTATTGAAAATGGCTTTGGTCCACTTTGAGGGAGCTCTGGTCCTCACTTTTGAGCATTGCTTCCTGGCTCTGGAGGGGAAGATGGTGCACTGCTCAATGTCCTGGAGAAGCTTGTCGCATTGGCTTTCCTAATGGGAAATAGGCTGTCCTGATCATTGGAGGAGCTCGGGACCTCACTGCTGCTGAGGATGGCTGTGGTACTTTTGGGGGAGCTCTGGTTCTTACTTTGAGCGTCACTTCCTGGCTCCAGTGCAGAACCCTCAGCCTGCTAGCACAGATCCTTCATCCTCTGGCACAGACTTTCTGGGTTCCACCAGTGACCTTTGGGCCTTCCCAGTGCAGATCCGTGAAACTGGCCTGCATGAGATATTGTTATGGGCTCTGGGCCTCCAGTTGGACTTGTGGGAGGCATTGTTATGAGCTCTAGGTCTTCAGCTAGACTCATGCAGGACATTATTGTGGGATCCAGGCCTTCAGCTGGATTCTTGGTTTATGTTGTGTGGACAGATTTCCTGCACTCTGTTATATAAGATTCTTTGGATGACTATTATAAACAATCTTATAAAGTATGTGTCCTGTATATTGTATGTTTCCCCTTGCAAAATAACCCCAAACCACTACAGATACTTTTTGTGACTTGGCCTCGGAAGTCACCTAGTTACAAGTCTGCCCAGATGCTAGAGGAGGGACCAAAGGCTCCATTTATCAATGGGATGAATGCAAAGAATCACATACAAGATGAAAGATATTGTCAGGCTATTTTAAGAGAATGCAGTTTTCTATAGGAAGGCTCCCTATAGGGAGTATAACAAGTAGGTGGATTCTGTGACTACACAGTAATGACCCCATTTATCAATCTTTCTCAGTGGCTTTATCAGTCTTTCCTCAGTGGCCTTAATTATTTTTTAAGCATTTCATTTTTTTTCTCCAAGTGGTTCATTGAGCCTTTCAGTGCATTCCCTTGGGCTTCAAATTAGAATGCCACATACACAAAGTGAGGACCACTTTTAATTTCACAATCCCATAAAACCCAAGAAATGCATAATTTAAACCTATGTCTTATAAAACACTTGTGATAAAGATATAGTAAGAAATGTTGCAATTTTAGTATTTTAGCATTAAGAACCTTAATGCTGATTGTTTTCAATGCAAAGCTTCATTAAATAAGTCAACCAGGCTAAAAGTTAGTTGTGTTGGTTCATCTCCCTGTAAATAACCCAGAATTAAGGCAACTCTGCTAGAATTGAAGTGACACAGTAGGAATCTGAGTGTGGTAAGTAACATGTTAAAAATTGCAGAGAAAGTATTTTCAATTGGCATGTCTGGGAAGTTTTTTTTTTTTTAATTATTTTATATGAATAAGCTGTTGCCATAAAAGTCTCAGCAAGTATCATATCTGAACTATGATGGGATTTGTAGTTCTTTCAGATGTAGCAAAATGTATTATCTCATGTTTAATATTCACTCAAGTTTGTAAAACCACTCTCCATGATTTGAAATGGGAGATGCAGTGTGTAAAAGAAAATCTTTGTCAGTTGGATGAATTTACAAAAGTGCTATAAAAGAAAAACTAAGAATAGACATATTTTGTAGAAATTGATAAATTTAGTACATTGAAGAATATTACCTACAGAGTATTAGGAATCCAAAGACTGAACAAATATAAAATATAGTGTCAGAAAACAGAACATGCTCTAGAGAAAAATAAAGGAGAATAGAGATGATGTAGGCTTGGGAGGGAAAGGCAGGCTCACCTTCAGCTGGTACACACAGGACAGTCCCTTTCAAAAGTCAGTGCTAAATACTTCTGAATTTTGTCCTTGGGAGAAGGGATGCTACTTCAGTCAGGCCAGGAAAAGAATGCTGCCCTAAGAAGATACCATTTTAGCAGTATCCTGAAACAATGAGTAGAACAAACTATAGGATCTTAATACCCTGCCAGTGGAGGTACTGATGATGCAGTTCTTTTAGGAAGCGAAAGAGTATTAAGAGATGTAAAAATGTTCATGTGATGTGCTCCCCAAAAGACTTTAAGAATTAATTGGTCCTGAGGAACAATTGTAAACATGATAGCAGCTTTAAACTTGAAGAAATGTTTCTCATACTACTGTAATAGGAAGGAATTGAAAGAATTTAAACAGCTAATGTTAGGACAATGAACACAAGAATGATGTCCCATCTTCAGGAGAAAGATTTCTCTGCCTTGGCACTATTGATGTTTTGTGCTGGATGAATTTTTGTGGTGAGGACTGCCCTGTGTATTGTAGAATAGTTAGTAGTATCTCTGTCTTTAACCTAGAACTTGCCAGCAACCCTTCCTTCCCAGCTGTGATAATCAAAGATGTCTTCAAATATTGCCTAATGTTCCCTGGGTGGCAATATTGCCACTGGTTGGAAATCACTACCCTGGTTAGAATATATGCAAATTTGACAATGATTCACTCACTGATAAGTTATGTGTAATAAAATGCATGTGTAACAATATAAAAAGGATAAAAATGTATTTGCAATGAAGTCACAACTATGTAACAAAATACATCAAAATGTGTAGAAAAAAGGTGTGAATTTAAGAAACTAATGGATGAAACTTTAGTAATGGTGAAGATAAATGAGACTGATCTGAGTTGCTACAGTATTTTTATCTTTCTTATAATTGATTGCTGTCCAGAGTTAAGGTTTAGGAGATGAGAAAAGATTGCCATACTTGGACAGAAAATTTTTAAAAATTTGTTTCAGGATATATTCGTTAGAATTTGTCTGGACATGCTTAATTATCTTATGTGTTCCTTGAATAATTATTTTCTCTTACAATGCTCTCTAAGGTGAGTCACTAGTAAATAACCTAAAGGAAAAAAAGTCTGAGTCCCATTAAAAGCTATTTGTTCATGGGACAAAGGCTAAGTGAAGAGCACGCAAAATTATTATAAAACTAGGGCACTAGGAGATAAAGCTAGAAGAGTGATCAAAGAATGTAACATTAACCTGTGTCCTTCCTCCCCGAGAGAGTGAGAAAGAAGTACCTTACATTTTATTCCCCTGTAGAGAAGTACTTACGAACATTTTGGGATTTCTGGCATGCGACTGTTGGAGGTTTTTTTTTTTTTTTCCATATCTTTTCATAATAACTGCTTTAAAGCAAAGCTCTACAAAGACAGGGAGGCTAATTATTTTAGCTGTATTTTAAAGTTTAGAGGAAAATTTCCTGATATTGCTTGAAGAAAGTAGAGGGTCTCTGAAGTTTTGTTACCATGCATAGACTTTACAGTTGATGGAGATTGTTGGGCCCCATCCCTAAAGTTTCTGGGACTGTAGGTTCTTGAGTGGTAATCCTGGGTTTGTGTTTCTAACAAGTTCTCAGGTGCTTTGGGTGGGTTTGAGTGTATCCCCTAAAGCTGGAAGCTTGGTCCCCAGCATAGCAATGTGAGAAGGTTGTGGAACTTTCTACAGGTGGGGTTTGGTGCAAGGTAACTGGCTCACAGAGGCTGTTATAAGGGATCCATGTAGTTCTCATGGGCCCCATGTTTGTTCTTTTTTATTGGTACCAGGAATTGAACTCATGACCTCAGGCTTGCCAGGCAAGTGCTTATGCCACTGAGCTATATCCCCAGCGCCCCCCCCTCCCCCATGTTTGTTCTTGAGAGTTGCTGTAAGAATGGGCGTTCCCTGCTTTTTTACTTCTTGTCTGACCATGTACTTCTAGCCTCTTAACATAAATCCTCTCCACATCACCTACCATGGGATGTGTGGCTCTCACCAGAGGCTGAACTAATATGGAGCCATCTGATCTTGGACTTTTAGCCTCTATACACTATAAGCTAAACAACCCTCTTCATAAAGTTTTCAGATTCAGGCATTCGTTACAGGAAAAGAAAACAGATTAGAACTCAGGTTTTGCTGATTGTCTTGGAACCACATTTTCGGAGTACTGTTTAAGTGACACTTCTCTGGCTTTCTGCTCTGAGTCCTGAGCCAGGGTGGTGATGGTGGGGTCAGTGCTTTCTTTATTAGACAGTAGTACTGTAAAACATCCCTGGCTGAGGCAAGAGATGCCTTCTGGTACTAAAATCTGCTTGTTGCTAGTGATCCTGGGCTACACCACTTCAGTTCCCCATAGTTCTTGGATCCAACGATTTGCCTTAACCTGGTGCCTTTTCCACTTTATGATTTACAACCTCTTGGCCCTTGTCTATCTACCTGGTTTCCAACCCCTGCCTCAACTGACTTTTGCTTATAATGGAATCTCTGATAAATCTGCCTTCTTCTGACTCTCATCTTGGTTTTAAACCAAAGACCCCCACCATTTCTTGGTACAGGGTACCTTCAGTTCCTCCATCACGTTTGCCTAATTCTCTGTTTTAGTCTGTTGAAGCTGCTGCAACAAAATATCACATTCAGAGTGGTGCGTAGCAACAGATGTGTGTTTGTCACAGTCCTAGAAGCTGGGAAGTCCGAGAGCGATTTGCCAGCAGATTTGATGACAGGTAAGGGCTTGCTTTCCTCTAGATGGCTGTCTTCTTATTGTACTCTTGAGGGAGGGATCTCTCAGGCCTCCTTTCCATGCAGGTTAATCTCATTCATACAAGCTTTGCTTCTGACACCTAATATGCTCCTAAGGTCCCATCTCCTAATACTGCCACATGAGGGGTGAGATTTTAATATATAAATTAGGGGGAAACATGAATATTTTTACCATAGCACTCCTACAAGCTAAAAGAAATACATAATGATTCTATTTATTATGTAGTCAGGTGTAAATAATTTAATAGCAGGAGACTTTTACCATATCAGCACTTATTACTGTGTTCTCAAAAATGTAATATTTTGCACCACTGGGAACAATATGTGAACCACAGCTCTGTACTCCATTCTGCTCTGGCCTTCTTACAGGTCCATCATCCCTGTGGGACAATGTCTGTAGTTTTTCTGTCACGCATACCTCAGCATAACATTCCACAAGTAAACACAAATTTGATGGCAATATTTATATTTATGTTTGCAATTCCTTCGATAAAAACAATTTAAACAATGTTTGGTAAGGTGTTATTTTCATAAAAACATCTTGCGAAATGAATGTATTTCTATTTTCCACAAAAGTTAAAATTACATGCTTGAACAGAGTTAATCCCTTAGATAACACAATACTATATCAGAAGACTTGTAGAGTGAGATCAGGTAATGTACTATATCATTAAACTAAACAATTACACAGAACTAGAAAACTGACTCAGTAGTAAAATATAAAAAATCTACAATTATAAATATAAATTTGGTCCATGGAGACACTACAGCAGTATTTACAGTAAGTATCAGATTATTCCTACTTTAGGTGAATATCACAGTTGTAAAATGTTGAATATCATAGCAGACAAAATGGTTTATTTACAACCTACTATCTTAAAAGTTATATTTCTAGCAAACCCGATGATTGCTACAAGTACAGCTAAAAATCTGACACGCAAAACAACATTTTCTTTAGTTGGGAATTCCTAATAACTATAAATTGGAAACTTCTGTTAAAATCAGTATGAAAAAAATACCATAATTCCATTTTTAGAAATACTGTAAAATTCAGTCATTTTAGTTTAAACATAATAAGTGAATTACAGGAATCTTTCAAAAAGGCACACATTGTTAATGACGTAAATTTGGCAGCAAATTCCTATATTATGAAAGTTACTGTCACATGATGGAAAGTAGACAGAAAGAACTGGACTGATTTTCCTAATTTTAGAAGGCGGAAAACAATGCACAGATGTGTGGACCCCACCCTTGCCTGTGTTAAACTAAGGATTCTAAGCTCTCAGCTCTATTTCCATCAGGCAAAGCTGCACCATTACTGTCCAGGGAGGTGGACGGATTCTCTTCCTGCCTCGTACTGACGAGGCTGAGGACCACTTTGTAGAGAAACTGATACTGCTCCTAGAGAACAGAGAAAGAGGTTATAAGCAGGGAGCTCAGGGGAGACACAGACTTGAGACATGAAGGAGTATTTTTATAAACACTTTAGCACTGTTCATAGAAGGTTTTGTGCTAAGGGCTTTGTTAGACTCACCAGAGGTATATGATCTGTATTAATGTCTCCTGATTAAATTAGCTTTTAAGTTGACACATGTTCATTGACGTTTAAAATTTGCCCACATACATATGCCAGCTGTAAGTGCTCTGCTCTTACTTATTTCTTTCCTAGAATCCAAAGGTGATGTGGTAGAGTTCTGTCCACTTTGACACTAAGTATCTGTTACCTGCTCAACAATAAATTTCTTATTCTTCTTTCTGTAGTTGCTATGAAGTCCACTGGTTCTGTTTATGGACAAAGCTCCATAACAATCACTGCGCTGTTGCCCCAAAGACTCATGCAGAGTACAGTTCTCACAAAGATCCACAGGTTTCCAAAGATATTCACACTCTAATCAGTCTGCCCGGTCTTATGCTTTGCTTTGAGAAAAGTTGTGTGTACTGCTATGTTCACTTTATAAGGCCTTTAATTATAGACAGACAAGAAGCTGAAGGCAAACCAATAATTTCTACATCCAAGTTTCTCTTATTGTGATGTTTTCACAAGTTCCTCACTATCTTTCCAGTTCCTGTGGTTTTTTTTTTTTTTTTTTTTTTTTTCTGGTACCAGGAATCAAATTCAGGACCTTGCACTTGCCAGGCAGGCCCTTGTGCCACTGAGCTATATCCCTGGCCCTCCAGTTCCTGTTTCTACAATAATAAAAATCTCCCCAATTATTTTCAAAGTTGAGACTGGTTGCCAAATGTGCTGCATCTTTCCCTTGACTGCACACACCTCTGTCTCTTCTGAAGAGCTCAGGAACTGGCCATTTGTGAACTTCAAAAACAGAATTTGGCTTGAAAAAAAAGTGAACAGTTCCAACATTTAAGTCTTTGAGGTCTGTCTTCTGACTGTTCTCTGAGGCTAGGAAGAATCTGAATCTGAGGAGAATAAACATTTATTCTGCCAGGTAAGTCAGTTTGTTGGTACTTTTACTGAGGATATTTTGAAAAATTATAATAAATCATAAAAGACATGCACAGACCTAACATTTTTTATCTATCAACTTTCCAGAAGATGTGGGCTTGTAACTCAACTTGAAAACTAACTGAGTAGTGTAACAGTAAGAAAGCTCGGCTCATTGATTCATTACTTACAATGTCAGCAAAGACTCCTGGCCTCATCAGATTGATCATCTTGGCCACCTGGTAAACATCCACAGAATTTTCTTTTTCTAGTTGGTGCATAAGAGTTGTCAGAGCACAGAATGTTCCTGCCGTCACTCCTCCGTGCCTTGTAACCAAGGGAAGGGACAAAGACTCCATTCATATGTGTCAAACACTCACACTTGAAATTTACACAGCATACATCCTTGAAATTTTTTCAGGAGAAACACTGAAAATTTTAATGACTTCTCTTTCTTTACTGTTTCTGTGCATAGAAGTTTGGGTTAACTGGAAACATTGCTAAGTGTTCATGCTATTGCTAATGAAGTATAATGTACATACTATATAATTCTAGCATTTTTATGCATAACAGAAACAAAAAATCTAATGAGTAAAAGACTTCTTTCACGAAATAAAACAGGGGCTGGGGATTTAGCTCAGCGGCACAGGGCCTGTTTGGCAAGTGAAAGGTCGTAAGTTCAATTCCTGGTACCGGAAGGAAAACAAAAAACAAACAAACAAACAGGAAATAAAATATATATCAATTTTACTCCTTTCTCAAAAAGTCAATAACCGAGACCTATATCTCCAGTTAGTTCCTATAAAAATCCTGGTGGTGAATCACTGTCTCCTTGCACAAAGTTTTCTCAGCATTAAATGCCAGGGTAAATTCTTGGGACTATGCACCTGTCTTCTGTCTGCAACAGGAGCTTCAAGTAACGTAAAAAAATATCTGATGTTACCCATTTTGATAATCCACCCTAAGTCATCACAGTTGGCCCAAAGCACTTGGTGGTCTGAAAACAACAGAAATATACAGACACCCAGAGGATTCTTAGGTATACAAATAATGTAAAGTCTGAAACTTACTCATCATGAACAATCATAGGCCCATCCCTGTTGGCAGCTTCTTCTTTTATAATACTTATAAGTTCAAATGTTTTACTGATGGGACTGTCTGGATTCGGCCATTTGGGACACTGGAAATGCCTCACTTCAAGTACATAATCATCCTATGAGGAGAAGGAACAAATTAAGGATTTTAAAAGAATTGCATCATTGATGATAGGTAATAAAAGCCAGTGGTATGCATGAGTGAGCTGCACTCCTTCATGAGCAAGTGACAGTCCACCCTTCATTACAGATGGAAGAAATAACAGCAAAGGGACATTTCCCATGTGCAAATCTACTCAGCAGGACAAGATGTAGTTTCTTTATATTTCTAAAAATAAACTTTTTCTGTTGGTGTGTCATTTGAATGCTAACAAAGCATAAAAATATATATCAAAGTGAATGAGGAGAAATTTCATTTTGTATGTGGGTAGAAGTTAAGAATTGTTTAGTTTAGTGATGACTGATTGTTTCATGACTCTGTAAGACTTTGAGAATGAAACTGATAAAGGACTATTATGTGGGTGACTCTCAATTCAAATCATTTTTAAATCATAAAACTTCTAAGAAGGATTCTTAAATCAGCATGTGTTTAATGTGTTGTTAAGATAAAAGCTTGTCCTTTACTTATGTCCATACCTGTGTAGCTTCTAAGATAAAGTCTTGAATTATAAGTTTTTCCTCACTAGATAGACACTTTTGTTCTTCAGCCATCAGAGTGACCTTAAAGCTCTCACAATTTATAGGCTCATCTTTATTTGGCCAGTAAACAAATTCATCTTCTGCCTGAGAATTAAAAACCATAAAAGAATGTAGATTTTAATAAAATATTTCATAAATCAGATTTGAAATGAGGTTAATTGGTTGGGGACAAAATTTCCAACTCAAATTTTTCTTTCAATATCAAAATTTACTATTGAAATCTTCCTGATATCTTAAACCAGATTGATATGCAAAATAAAATATTACATGTAAGAATCCAAGTAATCACTTTGTTATTTTATGCCGTTACCTTATTAGCAGCAATGGTATTGATAAGCTGTACTTCTATAACTTACATTAAGCAATGCTTCTATAACTAACAGGTGGTTAAGAAAGAGTCGAGTAAATCTGAGAGCTAGCAGTTTCTAGCCACATTTGGAATGGCCAATATAATGTTACAGAAAAGAACTGATTATCAGAGTTTAATATACAAGTAAAGCCCAAATAAAATATTAACTTTTGGGGCGGGTTTCAAAAACATATAAAGATAAGAATGAGTGTGTCCTTGATTTTTGGCTACCCAAAAAAACCTGTCGTATACTAGTTTATTTTACCCAACTCAATCATTTTTTAAAAATTTCTAGGGCATCAGTATACTAAGAGAATATTCAAATATCTTAACTCATTTTATTTTAAAAGTGTAAACAGAATCATATAGACTGATATCATTTATAATTGCTTAATTTCATTAAGCAATGCCATTTAAACCTTTGATTCATCATTTTTAGACCAAAGAGATTATACAACAAAACCAAGATCTGACTCCAGTGACTTCTGTCTTTTGGTTATAAACAAAGTGTCTTTGCTTACTTGTATGCTGAACATCTGGCTATTGTGCCCTGATATTTTCCTATGCAGTTAGAAATAAAAGTGATCTAAGGAACCTACCATGTTTTGACCATCAGGAATCATAACCACCAGTTGGGCATTATGATCCCATATCATTCTCCAGAAGTCCTTGATGGTGTGGAGCAGCGGGTGCTGGGTGATGATAAACTCATTGCTCTGGTAATAACCCTAGGAAACCAAATAGAACATTTTTAAAAAGCCCTTGAATGTGACTTCCTTAATCCAAAGTACTGTCTCTAATGTAGTCTGTTTGTATGAATAATAATGTGATGATTAGAACCAATGTTTGCTGGGCACTTCTCATATGCTAAGGACAGAGGATTTCTTCTTTTTAAGGAATTTGTTTCTTACAGTAGAACCATGGGATAGGAACTGTAATCTCCATGTTAGGAGTGATTAAACTGAGGCATAACAAGGTAAAGGCTGTGATCAAGTTTCTCTTAAGAAATGTTGTGTTCAAGTTTATCTATCCTCTTTAGGAGTAGATTTTCCAAAATGGCTCGTGGAAAGTGTTTCCTATACTAGACAGAGTGCAAATATACAGCCATTTATAATTCTCACTTTCCACAAGTCCCAGTGTCAGAACGCTAAGCTGTACACCTATTCCCAACAAGATGCCTTGATGTCTGGACAGCCTGGCTGCCTATTCAAGACAAGAATCAAAAAAGTTTCTCACAGATTTTGTTGCAGAAACCTGGACTCTGATACCATGAGCTTAATCATGATTTCTATGATGCTACTCACTGAAATCATTAAGCTCCTGCTCTGGGGTCTTTTAGATCCCATGCCTGTCCGCGATGGGCTCATTTCAAATGAGGCACGTGTTTGCCACTACAGCATGGCTCCCTTTTTGTGCGTGGCTATCCCTCAGTGATTTACTTGCTGATAAAGAGAAGAGAGGCTGTGGAATGGGAAGAGGACCCTTTCATCTAATGCCAACCTCTGTGACTGACTGTCCTGAAATGGTAAGGTCACACAACAGCCACCGAAGTACTCATGCCCTGACAGAGAACCAAAATGCAGAAAAAAGCACTGTAATCTTTAGAGACCCAGGTTCCCAAGTGAGCCTACCCTGCAAGGTGTGTATTCTGCTGCAAGTCTCGAGTGGTAATGTCAGTGCGGCTGGGATTTGCTGAGGCTGGCTGGTCATGGGTCTGCTAGATCGCTGCCTTGGTGAATGAAATGGAGCCTCTTAGATGGGCAAGTTTCAGCCCTACTAAACAGACTTAATGGCGTGTATGGATTGGCTCCTGCAATTCCTTGTTTGAAGTTTCTTCAGTCTCAGCACATAGAAACACTGAGGAATGCTGGCCCCCTGCTTGCTGCTGCGGGCTCTCACTTACCATGATATAGGAGGCATTGATGTAGTCGGTGCTTTCTCCACTCAGGGATGAAATACCAACCCTTGATCTTTCCACTAGAACACAGAACATTCATCTTAAACAGCTATGCTCTGGACCATCTTTCTTTAACACCCAAATACAGAATATAGTTGCATTTCCCAAATTGAGTGTCTTTGATTTTTAAGCTAATTGTTAAAATAATTTTGTGTTTTAGATAAGATTTTTTTGTTTTTTTTTTTTTTGTTTTGTTTTTTGTTTTTTTTTCTGGTACCAGGAATCGAACTCACAACTTTGTGCTTGCTAGGCAGGTGCTGTGTATTTTAGACAAGATTTTAAGCAATTACAAGTTTTTTAACAGTTACAAATTAGGCCTAATTAGAACAATAGACATCAAATATAATAATTAGAATATATCCCATCTGTCCCAAGCTATACAAATAATAACAAATTACATACAAGGCTTTATCATAAAAGTTGATTCTTCAAGGTTCAGTATCACTTACCAGGAATGATGGAAGAAGTTCTGTTCTTCTCCCTGTTGCACTGTTTTAAGGCTGTAGAATAGTCACTCTGCTGTATATTAGATTGACTCAGAAGCTGAGCAAGGGCGACAAGGAAAAATGCATTTATTTAACTTAAGTCCTTCAAATACTCAAACACACAGGCACATCCATACCTAAGATAAAATAATAAGCACAAATATAGCTCACTTGTTTTTCAAGGATTCCGTAAACTAACTTTGTTTTAATGAACTCCTTGGGACACCTGTGCTCATTACCGTGGGAGCTGGAATACGGAGAGAATTTTCACCAGTTTGACTTTCAGCCCTGAGAAGACCTTGCTTGTTCCCTTCCTTAGACTGCGCCCTCCTTTTCCTCTACTGATACCTCACAGGGCAGCTAGGATGTGAATGACATTGTATGTGGATGTGTGCCTGAATATATATGTGTGGAGTTAGAATCCCATTCATTCACTGTTACTTCATATTCATCACATGAATAACATGCGCTCTCCTTACATGTTCCATATCTAGTGAATGTATGGATTATTTTCATGTCCTCCTATTTCCAGATCTGCAGTACTGAATACCTCTTCCTGCTTCTTAATGTTCATGTGAGGATTTCTATACCACGTTAAAAGTCAACAATATTTTATTTTTGACAGTTGGATAAGTGAAAAGTGGCACACAATGATTTTGATTTGTAGTCCCTTTCTTACTTTGAGGTTGTGAATTTTTTGTGCTCATTAGTAATTTATATTTATTTATAATAATTATAATTTATATTATATGATTTGTAGTCCCTTTCTTACTTTGAGATTGTGAATTTTTTGTGCTCATTAGTAATTTATATTTATTTATAATAATTATAATTTATATTTATTATTTATATTAGTATTTATATTTATTTCTTCTTTGATGACCACCTATATTTTGACTTCATTATTTTTCAATAAAATATTTTCAATATTTTTCTTTAATTTGTAGGAGCTTTATGTTTTGATGTAAATTCACAGTATATTAAAAATTGTAAATATCTTTGTTCTTTTTCATCAGAAATTTATATTCAAATTGTTATTTTTCTTGAAAAGTTCCACACACTATGTTTTTATTGAAGGAGTCATTCTCTACCCTGAAGTCATTAAAAGATACTTTCCAGTATTTTCTAATAATAATTAGGTATATTCCTTTCATCTTTGTGTATTTAGTCCATCTAGAATATATTTCAGTGCTTGAAATGTTGTAGGTTCTAATTTATCTTTTTACCCCATTTTACTGGTGTCATTAGCTGAGTAACCTGACCTTCCTTCATGGATTTGTAATGTTATCTCTATCACAGGACAGATTTTTCTCACATACAATTTCCTTGATTTGTCAGTTTTTCAGTATTACATCACAGAACAATTTTCCATATACAGTGATCCCTCACCTACTGCAGTAGTTATGTTCCAGAGAAAATCCATGAAAGGTGAAAATCTGTGAAGTAGCAGCACTATATTTATTTTATCATTTATATGTATTTTCAGGCTTTATAAACCCATCCCACACTCCTCTATGCCTTTCCCCTCTCATATTAACCTTTCCCACACCCTTATAAACATTTCATATGCTCTTAAACACTTTCTTCAGTCTTAAATCTACATAATTTTAGCAACATGTAAAATTCTATATGGGTACTCGATGTGAAATGGACAAGGAGAGATGCTGAATGTATGGACACAGTGCAGGAGAGCAAACAGACCGAGGCTACCATCACTGAGCGAATCAATGCCCAGGATACAGAACAAAGTGCTGTGGTTGGCCACCTTCCATTCCATCAGCCAATAGTGTGCTATGTACAATCTCATGTTGGCAAACTCGTGCAAGTGGTAGTGGCATACTGAGTTTCCATTGTGGACAGTATGGTATTCATCCACTGATGAAATACATACTATATTTTATTTCAATTTAATATTCTTTTAATATGTTTGAATTGACATTTTTATATTTTTTATATTGTTTTAATTTTTTTAGGCAAAAATAATTAAAATCATAAATATTATATAAATACCTATATACCACAAAATCCTGTGATACAGTAGAAAACCCCACAATACAGAATTAGATATATTTTTTTAAAAAACACATGATATAGTGAAGCCACAATAAATGAACCACAATATAGTGAGGGACAACTGTATATTCTCCTTTTCCTATTCTCTTTATACTTTCCTTTTTTTTTTTCCTGGTACCAGGAATTGAACTCATGACCTCATGCTTGCCAGGCAGGTGCTGTGCTGCTGCGCTAAATCCCCAGCCCTCTATTTCCAATACAGGTGGAAAGTTTTTGCTTTCATGTTAAGTTAGAAACTGTTCTTAATTTTCCATGGTAAATCCTGCTAGAAACTTGATAGATACAACACTGACCTTTATGCTCAATATAAGGAAAATCAGTGCCTTAGTGACATTTCCATCTCCCAATATCTTACCTCTCATGGCCCCGTACACCTTATACCTCTAGAAATATAAAAAATAAACCTGTTTTCTTTATTAAGGAGTCTGCCCCAGATATTTCATGATAGTTACAAAAAGCTCACTAAATATACCTGCACAACAAGTACATCCAAATTAAGTAGGTTTAGGAATCGTCTTGTTATTTTCTCTTCCCCCACAACCCTCTTCCTAATGCCGGATCACTGTGAATAATGTCAGCATCTCCCAGTTGTCCATGCCAGTCTGAGTAGGCTTGCTTTTCCTTTGCCCTCCCCAAAGCAGCACATCAAATCAACTACCACTTTCTCACTAACCTCTTAAATACATCACACACAGCTCTGCCTTAAGGTGACTCCTCTCTGAACTCCTACAGAAGCCTACTTGACTTCTATAATGCTGTCTTTCACACTTTGTGGTTTTTTTCTTACCTCTATTTCTCAATAGATTGCAAGTACCATGAGAGTAGGAGCTGGGTGTGTTCTTTTTTTAAATTCATATTTATATTCAGTACCAACCACAGAAACCCAGGGGCCGGGGATATAGTTCAGTGGCACAGTGCCTGCCTGGCAAGTGCAAGGTCCCAAGTTCAATTTCTGGTACCAAAAAAAAAAAAAAAAAAAGGTGGGAGGGAACCAACCACAGAAACCCAGCATCTTATAGTTTCCTGACAAATATTTGTTAAATAGACACGTAGTTTGATTCAAGAAAACTGTCCCATGTATAAACTTGAGTGCTTACTGTTTATAAGCCAGTACACATACACATCTATGTTTCCCTATTTATGTAGTAAACAGGAAAATCACATATTTGTCTTTTAAGTTGGATTCTGACCTGTGTTTCCATTGCAGTCCTAGGTTATTCAGTTTAATCCACATCAACTCATGCAATTATGTAGGAGGCAGATCATATAAAAATGAGAATCATGTTGAAAATGAGTGATAAAATATTAAAATTGTGTCATTAGAATGGCTTTTGCATAGATGAAAACTCACCCTAATGACTTAATTTTAAGGTTTTACATTTCTTTATTATCTATTTGTGGAACTGTCAATACATGTTTTCCTTTTCCCAAAGCACTTCTTCATGACTAAGATGGGTCTGACGGAGGAAAACATCTGTATTCCTGACAAGTTCTAAGTTCAGCATTCACCCTGTCTATTTTTTACACTTGCCAGAGCAGAAAAAGAAGGGATGCGAGAGAGGGCAGAACATCGCAGAGAATTCATGGTGGCTAACAACTTCTCTGTAATAGGCTGGGGGAAAACTGAGGAAAAAAAAATGGAATCTCAATGTTTGTTAACTCTCCTGGGCTTTTTCAGGGTCTTCAAATTTCTTCCTACATCTTCTTTTCTTTTAATAATTGGCCCTATTTTTCTTGTAATCCTGAGAAATCAGAGAATAGCACAGGAACTATATGGAGTAAAATAATAGCCTCCACTCCTATGCAAGGCTATGATTCTGTAAATCCTCTGACTCTAGTCAGGGTCTTCTAACACTTGCTGTCTGAATTCTTTGCTTACTGATTTCTGAAAGCCTGAGAGCTAGTGTTGTGGGAGGCATGGTACCAAGCAAAATATATTCCCTTCTAGGGTTTGCTGCCTCAAGAGGTGAGTGGGAGAAACTGGGGTGGAAGAAGCTATTGTTCTGGGGTGGCCAACTCTAGTCCAAGGATTTCAAGTGAGACAGACTTTTCCAAAGAGTAGTGGGAACAGCCTGAGCCATAGCACTCCTGCTTAAGTAGTCTGTTCTTTTTCAAAGCAAAAAGAGCACTTACACGGTTTGTATTATGAGTTCTGTCTGTTCATTCTGTTATCCTCTGTGCCCTCCTTTCCTGGCCCAAGTCTGCATTTATAAAAGTTACTCTAGGGTTTCTGAGAACTTTTCCTCTTGCTACTCAGAATTAAGTTTCTCCTTGAAACTTACTGCCGGGCATTGTAACCTACTGTAAAGGATGGTTCAAATACAAAGCCATTGTACCAGAAATGTTCTCAGACTATCTGCATGGCCTTGTCAAGTCAAATGAGAAGATGCAGTGACATTAAAGTCTGTGGTTACATTCAAGAGACATTCAAGAGAACTCACCTGGAATTGTTTCTCTAGTTTTGTTTTGCCTGTTGGTCCTGGAATGAGGAGCGCATTAACGTAGGCATGGATATGACTGTCTGACACCTCAGTTTCCTTACTGAGTATGGCCTCAACCAAGGTATCATGGATAAAGACATACTGCTCCTGGAAAAACAATGACAGTGAACTTCAAATGTGCTTATACAGACACAAAGAAGGGTATTGCCTCCCACGAGAGACATAAAGAGTTTAACAAAATGATGAACAGAGAACTCAAGCCAGATTACTGACCAGGCTGGGTCAGAAGTCAGAGTCAGGAGGTGGTTGAGGGAAAAACAATCTCTTTCACATCACACTTCTTAATTGACTGTATATTCACATTTGTGAGTAGGACTCAAAAAGACAGAAGGAGGCGAAGCGATGTCTCTTCTGCCTCTCCTCAGAATCTGGCACTTTTTTGTTTCCCATGAGTACTCACCTGACTGGCCTACTTCAGGTAGACCTCCTGTCTTGCAACTCTAACTCTCTTTGTAGCTATCATATATACTTATAGCAGTTTTCCCAACAGTTTTTAATGGTCCTCTTGCATTTCATGTGTGGAGAATCTGGTCGCATCTGAACATAAAGTCATTTTCTTTATGGGTATTTGGTTTCGTTCTTGAAGCACACTCAAATATATGTTTCTGCTTGTTTTTTACCTGGCATCCATAGTTTTCAATTTTAATTCATTTTTGTTTAGAAATAGTAAAACTAAAATAGATGTGCAGACTCTATTCTGTGTTATATATGATCCAATTATGTAGGCCATAAAGGGCATAATATGAGCACCATTCATGCTTTTTAAACAGAAAAATGAGTCCATTTGTTTGCTATGTGTTTTAGGCAATAAAGTTTTTGCTATCAGGAATGGATGTTGACTGTTCCATTGACTCTTTTTCTGGATCTTCTCCATTACTACTGTCATTTTAAAGGTATCCCCTGACTGATCACAAAACAGACGAAATTTAGCTGGACTATCCATGACATATCTGCAAGTATCTTGTGTTATGGGTTGAGCTGTGTCCCTCAAAAAGTTCAGGTGAAGCTCTAACTCCAGTACCTCAGAATGTGGTGTGGGTTGCAAACAGGACTGTTACAGATGGAACTAGTTAAGATGAGGTCACCCGATGTAGGGTGATGACTAATATCCTGTAGGAAGAAGGAAATTTGGACACGAAGGGAGATAGCATGTGAAGACAGACAGGGACAGAGGCGATGTCGCCACATGCTAAGGAATGTCTGGGTCATCAGCAGCTGGAAGAAGCAAGAAATGAACCTTCCTCACAAGCTTCTGAAGGAGCAGAGCCTCACCAACACCTGGTTCCGACTTCTGGAATCCAGCACAGTGATACACTCAAGTTCTGCTGCACAGTACTTTGCTATGGCTAACGAGGCTAAGGTACCTAATTTCAGTGACAGTTCCACTGATGAGTAAAGATTTCTTTTTAAAACCATACCTCGGTTTGCACTAAATAATTTCTTTGTGAGCGAATGTGTTTTAAGAAGCCAAACACATTGACAGTTCCTTCGTGTTGAATTTGTTGCAGCATACTATCCAGCACGATGTATGTTCCTGTTCTTCCAACACCAGCGCTGAGCAGAGAAAGAAACATTTCAATGTTAAGCATAAGACAACTTTAAAAATAGGCTAATATGGGCTATCAAGCTGATTAAAATAATTTCCTTCCCCAAACAAATGAAGCACACAATAAATTTAACAACCTAGATTTATAAAGAGTGCAGTAGTTAAGTATGTTTGAAATATCATGAAAGCCAGGGATATAGCTCAGTGGCACAAGCGCCTGCCTAACAAACACAAGGTCCTGAGTTCAATTCCTGGTACCAAATAAAAATAAATAAATAAATAGCATTAAAATTTTCCATATGAATTTTTTTTTTTTTTTTTTTCTGGTACCAAATAAAAATAAATAAATAAATAGCATTAAAATTTTCCATATGAATTTTTTTTTTTTTTTTGGCCAGGGCTCCAACTGCTAAACAATCTCTTCTTGGGAGGGAGGTTTTAAACTTTTTTTCAACAGCTACATTTATCATTCATTTCATATTGTGGAGTGAAAATATTATGTATTAAAAGATAGCAAATAGACGTTTAATCTCAGAAGCATTAGCTTCAGCAAATTCTGAAAAGGAAAGGTCCCTGGGTCTGTACTGCCAGGTAGACGCGTTTGTAAAGGTTTCCACATTTAATAGGACAAAGACTTTGTTAGAGCTTTCAACTGAAAATATCATTTCAGCGACATCGTGAGGAATAAAGCATAACTTCAGTGATTTCTAAAGGGCCATTATCTATCAACTTCTTCAAAGCCTCTGTCAGAGGGACAGAATTCATAGACAGAGATTCTTTTCAAATGTTCTGAGAAGTAGGAAGTGCGCGAGTGGAAAATTAGCACCTGCTCTGCACAATAGCCTGGTCGTGCTCCATTTGCTAAGAAACAATCCCTGACCTTCAGAGCTATTTTCTTCTGTCTTCTGGTTTTCCTCAATTTATCATCAGGCTAACATATTAGAAACTCAAGATGAGCCTCTCAAATTTTGTCTGAGAATAACTCCAAGATAGATAATTAGAATCTGTCAGATAAGCCATATATCAAAAGAAAACACTTGTTTCTGGAAAAACACAGACATTGCTTTGACAATACTGTATACAGAAATAAATTTGATTTCTGTGGTCATAAAGCTTGGCTGTCACTCCATTAATAGTAAATGTATTAGCTGAAAAAATATTAGACTAAAACATTTACCACACATTTTCCTCTCAGTAATATTATTAGTGATATGTATCAACACAATCTTGAAAATTAACATTCCTGGGAAACAATGAGTTGATAATATATTCAATGTGACATATTAGAAAAGACTGAGAAAAACGAGAAAAAGATTTTGGTCTTAAAACGTTGGAAACAAATCCAGTCATGCTGCCAAGCTCCTCACAGTGCGCTCCGGGTTCTCTGATGCAGGCACCCGCAACAACTGCACAGCAGATTCACACTCGAGAGTCAGGCGCGCCAGCTCAAGCATTTCTATCCCACAGCGTTATATGCTGTGATAAATGTTTTAACCACAAAGATATTGTTCTACCTGATTTACACTGTTAAAAATTTGAAGACCATTCTAATAGTCAAATGGAATAGTAAATATAAAAATACCTGCTGCTCTGAAATATTCAGCGATCAGGTTCTGAGTCTAGCATGCTCATGTCCTAGTGATTAATACTTATCAGAATGGTCATATAATTTCATCTCCCTTATTTCATGAAATCATTCCCATTTTGGCCAAACTTTGTCCTATTGATTTCCTTTCACAAGCCGTTCTATGAGCTTAAAAGAGCATCTCTGAGACTTACCTGCAGTGGACGACAACAGGCCCCACTGCATGGCGCTTGGCGTGGGCTGCCTTTCGCACGAAGGTCAGCACTGGCAGGGAATACTCAGGGACTCCCATGTCTGGCCACTGTGTGTAATGGTACTGTGTCACCACTCGCCCACTTGGCCTTCCTTTCTGGGAGCCCTGGAAAAGTTCAGAGAGATATTAACACACACACACACACACACACACACACACACATGCACACATACAAACACGCACATACACACATGGTTCTTAAACATAAATTCAAGATTCACAGTTTGATATTCAAAGTATGTAATGAATCAAAAAAAAGTACACTGTCATTTGTGATGGTCAGTTTTATGTGCCCACTTGGCTAGGCCACGGTTTCCTGCTGTTGGAACATTAGTTACAACAGGTGTTGCTATGAAGATATTTTCTTAGACGTCATTAACATTTAAATGAGACTTTGCATAAAACAGATTACTCCCCATATTTGTAGGTGAGACCAATCCAATTAGCTGAGGCCTAAGAGCAAAGACATGTTTGCTGAAAAAGAAGGAATTCTCATTAAGATTGTAATGCAGAAACCGTCTTAAATTTTCAGCCTATTGCCTTGATGAATTTGAACTCTACACTGAAATATCAGCTCTTAACTGAATTTCCAGGCTGCCAACCTGCGTTTCAGATTTCAGACTTGCAAATCCCTGGAACTGTATTAGTCAATCTTTAGAAAACAGTCTGTCTGTCCGGTCTGTCCATCTTATCTATCCATCTATCATGTATCTATCATCGATCTGTCATCGTTCTATCTATCATCTATCATCTATCTATCTATCTATCTATCCATCCAACCATCCATGTCTATCCATATCTATCCATCTTATTGTTCCGGTTCTTCCTCTGTTTCTGTTTTTCTTGAGAATCTGAGCTAATACACTATTTTCTGTGTATTTCTTACTTCACTTATTTCGATATTCATGCTTCTTGGCTGGCGTCTAGCATCGCCTGAGGGCTCCCCTCGGAAGTGGCCACACAGAGCAGGAATTTTTGTTCACTCACCACATCCCTTGCAACCACTTGCACCATGAGCAGCCTGGCTCCAAAGCCACAGCTCACAGACACTTGGAAGGCACTCAAGTACCCTGTCTTGACTAGGTCACCTATTCATTTATAAAGGGACTGAATTCATTAAAGAACTGACAATATTAACATCACTGGTTTTACTTTTTTAAAAAGAAATTTTTTAATTGATAAAATTACATATATTTTGTAATTACATATATTGTATATAGCACAGCCGTGTTTTGAACCATAAATACACTGTGGGAATCACAGTAATTACCATGTGCATCATCTCATGCATCTTTGTGAGAACACTTTACCGTGGCAGCTGTTAAGCATACGGTACCTGGCTGTCACCGTACTACACAATGGATCTCTTGGACTGACTTTTTCTAGCTAAGTGGAATTTTGTGTCCTGTGTCCTTTGACCAACATCGCCCGGCTTTCTTCACTTCCAGGTTCTTGTGACCACCACTCCACTCTGCTTCCGAGTTTGGCTTTCCTGGTTCCCACACACAATGTGATAATGTGCTGTCTGTCTTTTTGTGCCAGCTTATATTGATTAACGTAATGTCCCCTAGGTTCATTCAAGTTATTGCAAATGAAAGATTTGATTTTTTTTTAAAGGTGAATAGTATTGCTCTCTCTCTCTCTATATATATGTATATATATATATACACACACACACATGCACACAGGTACTGTGTATACACACAGAGTGGTACCTGTGTTCACAAACACTTTTGTTTGCAAACAATGTGGCTTGCAAACAAAAGTAGCAAAATTTTGTTTTTGTTTGCAAACTCTGCATCCAGTGACAGACATGACTGTATCCATCTTTTCCATACAAACACAAATGTGGGCATCTTTTCCAAAATTGTTGAATAAATTAAATCTGTGAGCCAAGGCATGCATCTGCATCTCTGTCTATCTGTATCTGTATCTATATCTATGTATGTCCATCTATCTATGCTTTTCTTTATCTCTTAGTCTGTTGATGGAGTGTTTCCATTATTTGCTGACTCACCTTTTTAATCTTTGTGTTTCTTAGAGTAAAGTTCCTCACAGTGTAATAGGCAAGCACTTGAACATCTTTCTGATTGACCAGAAAGTTCCCATATTCTTCACTACCATCTGTAGGCCAGTACTGGTCACATTTCCGCTGCAAAAGGGACAGTAAAGATTCTATTTGCATATTTCAAACATTTAATGTCAAGGTCATTCCTGAAACAAGTGAAGAACGCAGACAGTGATAGGAAGACTCTGACTCATCTAAATGCCTTTTTTTTCTCAATGACTGCAAGTTAGAGGCAGAGGAGACCAGTGGCAGAATCACAGAACTGAGACTTGAGATGACCTAGGTTCACCTTCTCCCTTTCATACAAGGAAAGTGACACTAGATATATCGAGGTCCTGCACTCAAATCCAGTCCCTCCAAATTAAAATCGGTTCCACCCTTCACTGCTTTTCAGTAAGTCTCATTTTATGTTTTTCTCACAGCATGAAGAAGGTGTTTAAGGAAGGAGATAGCTTGATTCATGATAAAAAATTTTTAACTATAATGCTCACGAAGTCCCTTTGGCTGTCACACTTATGAAAAGAAACGCTTGTTAGTTTTATTAATTTTTACTGCCTTCTAGTGCCGACTCTTAAAGCAGATTGAAAGCTCCTGTCATTACTATCTAGGGATGATAATACGGAAGACACACACCCTTCCTTTCTCCACCAGGTTTGTTATCATGATGATAACTTCCACATTATGCTCCCATATCATTCTCCAGAAGTCTTCAGCTGTAGATTTCAGGGGTCCTTGGGCAGCAATGTAAGCCTTTGGTCTGTTGTATCCCTGCAGAGACAATTGACAAGCATTTCTCAGTAACTGAATGCTATATTCTTTTAAACCGTACAGTACGTAAATCTTTAAGGTCAGCACCATTTTTCTGTAACAGAAATCTACAAGAAGGATAACTCAACTATAATATTTATTACAAAGTAGTTCTCTTCAGTGTGGCATGTTTACACTTCTCTGCATCTTTACTCTAAATGCTTCTAGCCCGATTTATTTACTGTGCTTAAGAGTTGCTCCTTGACTGTGTTGTTTCGGAATGCCTGTCAGGCAGTGTGGCTTAGTGTCTACAATGGTTAAGAAACCTCTGGGGTTCTGACTTCCTTCTTCTGCTTGGTGTGACTGAACAGACCTATTACTAGCTCTCTTTGATTGAGCATTACTGGAAAAGGTGCTTTACAAACATCAATCTAATCCATCATCTACACAAAACAGAAATGCCATCCCTGATTTGGAGAGGAGCAAATTGAAGCTCAGAGGAGGTGGCTATCCAGTGGCCCACTGCTAGCCAGTGGCACAGCCAGAATTCAAAAGCAGTCAAAACTGCAAAACTCACATTCATTCTGACATACATATTGCCTCCTTCAGAAGCATGAAGTGGTGTCCCTAACAAATCCACTTTATACTCATGTACTCATTTCTTTGAATTCAGTGTTGCATATAGCATTAACCTGAAGACTACTAGTCCGAGAGATTAGGATGTGGGAAATAACTGAATTGTGCTGACATTCCACTGACTATAGTGAAAAAGCCAGAAATCGGTGAGTAATCTACAATGGCTGGAGAGCTCAAAAAAGGTTGAAAAGCTCAAGTGTCCCTCAGGACAGGTTGAAAACAACAAATTATAAAGACTGATAAGCGGTTTAACAACCATGCATGTGTCTATTGGTATTACCACGAAAACCTTTCCTTAGGATGCACTGATCATGTCCTATATGTACAACATTGTATCAAGAGCTGTAGAAAATTAAAAATAAGCACTTGTCCTACCCTTTCATTTAAGGAGTTGTAAACCTATCTGGTATATTTTGCCTTGAACTTACATTCCTAGCCTGAGTTCCCTCCTTCTCCTAGGAAATAAGCCAATTAAACTGCTGTTCGACCTGAAATCATTTAGTCATAAGTGCTCTTAAAATTATTCACTCTGATTGGTTTTTTATTCTTAAATCAAATAACATGTGTTACACACAGGTGTAGGCACACTATCATAAATTCGGGGTCTGATACAATTGCCATAAACTTTCAGATCAAACATGCTTACATCAACATAATTGGCATTGATGTAATCAGTCAGTTTTCCATCTTTTTCAGCAAGCTGTGCCAGTTTAACCCTGCTGTGATCATCTGGAAGAAAAAAGAATATATTTCAATAAAGTGCAAACTAATCCAGAATAAAGGCCCTTTATATTTGTGCCATAATTTATTTCATAAAATTAAAATCACAAAAATAATTTACTAGGCTTTAGAGGGAAATGAGGAAATAAAGATAACAAAGGAAAGAACAAAATTTCTACTTTAAAGAAATATTCTAATGCAGTAGGTGAGAGACTAGGACATATGCCCAGAAAGGCACGTACGGGTGTTGAGAGTGAGGCAAGGGAGCCGTGAAGGCAGACATTATATTGGCTTGGAAGGCATAAATGTTTTCATAGCGGGCGAAGCTCGAAGTTGGCATCTCGGATGAGTGTTTGAAATGATTCTGGGGCTGTGAACAGTGGAGAGCCACTCAGTGAGAAGGGAGAGTGATGAGCACCCCAGAAAGCTCAGGAAGGATGCAGAGACAAGTTCTAAACGGGAGGGTGATGGGGGAAGAGATGCAACTAAAAGAAGCAGAGAGACAGGAAGACAATTATCCAGGAACAGAGGAGGTGTCACTGCCAGTTGAAAGGGGATAAAAACTACAGTAAGTATGCACAGTGTAACTGTGAGAATTTAAACATGTTGAAATAAGGAATTGAGGATTTACTTCAGATCTATAGAGAAACTACATTTACTTGCAGGAGATACAAAATGAGAAAGGAAACTGTTGTTAGGAGGAAACTTGGTAGCTTCACGGGGCCCACTGTTCTTTCCAATTAAAATTCGTTCTGTTATAAAAGAAACAGATGGAGCCATATTATGCTATATATTTTCAAACTCAGTTCTATTTCCTGATAACCCAGGACCTGAAACAGCCACACTGAGGGCTGACTATCGACGTCTTCAGGGCACTCGTTAATGACACGGGGCAGTGGAGATGAAGTCGGTGGAGTTGAGGTACTCACAGGCAACGATGTTTACGTATCTGTTCTTGTGCTTATTGTCAGGGTGGTTAGAGCTGTCTGCTGTAATGCCTAAGTCAACAGTACAGCTCTGCACTTCCTGCAAGAAAATGCATGGACACCATTTTAATACACAAGCCTTCAAACAAAGCATCTTAAAATAAAATATGCAAAACAAACAAAATAGTCTAACAAAAAACAAAAAAAATTGTTTTTACATGTTACAACTACTTCTTGGCTAAAAGAAAATGCAGTGAAATAATGCCTTACCTGGTAAAACTCTTTCAGTGTCTAATGAGGGAATGAATGCCAAAAAAGTAAAGAAACCAAATTCCACAGCACACGACAAATGAGAAAAAAAAGTGTTCATATTAGGTTTACAATGGAAAACTATGATCATGCAATAAATACATTTGTCACATACTAACAAAACAATGTTTCAAACAACTGCATGCAAATCAAATTGTCTAACAATTTGGAACCTTAAAATTATGTAAAAGGAAAAAATAACACTTTTTAAAAAGGACACTGATGTAATATGATGACTTTTTAAAACATAGATGAAAAGAACTACATATTTCTTGGCCTGTTTTGTAATAGTTTTTGAATTTGTGAATGTACAACTATAATTTTACTTAATTAGCACTATTTGAAACTCTGAAGTACTGATATAGTTTCTTTGTTGTTTTTGTCTTTTAATTTATATTAAAGAATAAATAGCTACCTATTTATTACGTGGTTCACAACACACTTAAGGTTGTTAGACATTAAAATTCTCGAAGTTTTTATTCTAATCGTATCTATCATGTCATTTGAAGCAAAATTTATTTATTTATTTTTATTTAATTAATTTTTTGGTGCCAGGAATTGAACTCAGGACTTTATGCTTGCTGGACAGGTGCTGTGCCGCTGTGCTATCTCCCCAACCCCTTGAAGCAAAATTTAGATAGGATTACTTTCTATATATTTAATTAGTAAGCCTTTTAATGTTTAAACTTCAATGGGTATGGAAAAATTATTTCTGCCATTTTTTAGTAAGATGAATTAAAGTGCTACTCAGAGACATTTCCTATCTATATTAGTTTAGAACTTAAAATTTAGTATTAAGATAATAAAATGAAAGCGTTATAACATATGAGAAAGTACATAACCCAAATATGAATCTGATTCTTTAGCAACCATCTCTCCAAATAAGCTTTGAAAGCCTCTTTTGCAGCAAATCATTCTGAACAATTAAAAACAATCTCATATATGAGTCACTTAAAAGGGATAGCGTTATTAGTTATTAAACATTGTTAAGTAATTGAAAAGCTCTTAAAATCAGAATATGTATTAAAATCAATGGAATTAAGAAAAAATTTTTGAGTAAAAATATGAAGTTATCTTATTGACTTAATTATTATGGACTGTTTATAATCAAAATTGCTTTATGCTTGTGAAAATAATGATCTGCCTTTGGGCATATGCGATCATCAACTTCAATTATAACCAGTCTGTTTTTTAGAGCATTTTTTAACATTTGGAGGATGAGAACGATCTTTGACATATTTTCTCTACTGCAGGTATACTTGTGTTTGACGTTAGTCTGATAGTTGCTATCAGTGAACACTACAGTTAATATTAAGTTACCACAGCAGTCAGTGTTGCAGTACTACCAGGAACCACTACCTTATCAGAAGAAAAAATCATTTGATATGTTTTGTTTTCCACATCAGGGATTGAAACCAGGGGCTTACACATTTTAGACGAGTTCTCTATAGCTGATTTACATCCCCCACCCTTTTTATTTTATTTTGAGATAAAGTCTCCCAAATTGCCTGAGCTGGCTTCCAACTGAGAACACCTTGCCTTAGTCACTCCATCGCTAGGACTGCAGGCATGCACCCCCACACTTGCCTATGCAGTCGATGCTTTAAATGTGTAATTCTTCACATTATAGCGCATTTCTTTTCTCTTGCTTCCTTAAAGCTTTTGCATATATGGCATTTTCCTTTCCTAAGTCTTGACTGATGTGAGCCCTGTGAAATGGTTAAGGTGTGTAAGGAGGGTATTAGCTGACAGGAGAGTAGATCCTATGATCAGGATCAGAGCTCCATGTCCTTTTAAGAAAAAGATCAATGGGTCTTTGGGGTGTGGGCAGGTGAGGGAGAGATGAAGAAAAGGCAGCATGATGAGATGCTTCTTACAGGGAAGAGGCCAGAGGGCAGGTTGGGGATTGCTTGTTAATGGAAAAGGCATAGAGTTTAAAATTGCAGACCTAGGTTTGAATTCTGGCTTTGCTATTTATAGGTTGCTAATGAACTTCTATGCAGTCTGGTTTCATGGACAACACAAATAGAAGGAATAACAGCTAACTCCCAGGGTCGAGTGAAGGTCGACTGTGGGAGTACCTAGTCAATGACTTCTTTGGCACAATAAAAAATAATCACTTTTTCTTTTTTCCCTGTGGCTATTGTTGTTACCTTGGATTTATGATGCCCTGTTTTGAAAAACCTGTCTAAATGATGTGATAATTCACTAGGCAAACATATTTGCAGTAAATTTCTCCACCCCTCTCTCTTAAGAATATAACAGTTAGCAACTGGGAAATTTTTCATTGATTTTAAAGTGCGAGTACTTTTTAGAAAACATATTATTTTCTTGAGACAAACTATTTTACTTTGGATGATAAAGAGCTATCTAAATACTTTTCTCCCTTTACATTGGTATAATACTTACAATTAAGGATTTGTATGCAATTTAGCTGAAAATCATGACATTTAGTAATTTAGTATAATGCATATAATTTAGAAAATTAAAAAGAATCTGTTACAAATTCAGATTTTAACATAGAACATGAGATCCGTACTTAATGGGATAGCACTAACAATTTTTTGATTCTTTCACTAGTACAAATTGGCTTTTACGATGGAAAACCTACTTTCTAAATTATATGACAACTACAACACATTTCCTGAACCAATAAGTAATTATGTAACTGGTATTTCCTCTAGAAATAAAATATTTTCAATGCTTGCAGTCAAGAAATAGCCTATTGCTGAATCTTTAGAACTCATTACTTTCTATATTATCAGAAACAGATACACTGAGATCATACCTCAAATTCTTCAGTAAACCCATTACTTGCATGTAAGTCTGCAACATGCTTTGTAAAGTGCTTTGTTGGAATTGCTCCAACATCATCTAAGGAATAAAAAAATTGTATTAGAAAGGTAAATCAATAGAAATGAACGTGTCTCTCTTTTATGAACTATCTCCTGAAACAACTTCAAAATTTAATTATTTTATAATTTCAACTAAATTTGTGCTCAGATTTTAAGCAACAATTACCAGTTTTATTTATATTCACTCTCAAACATAACATGAATTTTAGAAATCTGATTTCATCACGAAGCCCTTTTCCATGTATAGTAAAAAGGACAAAACCATGTATGCCCAGTGTTAATTTATAAAAACCCCTAAAGCCTCCCTTCTCAAGAGCTCCATCTTTTTAAGGACAACTTTGTTTTAAATAAGCAGGAATTACATTCAGAAATAATATATTTTCAATTTTGCTACAGTGAAATTTCAGTTTTCTACAACTGTACAGTTTCATGCCTGACAGTCAAATAGTCAGGTGTTTCCATTTTAAAACATTTTTCATTTTCATTAAATAGCAAAAAATATTTATACAGCCGGGCGTGGTGGCGCACGCCTGTAATCCTAGCACTTGGGAGGCTGAGGCAGGAGGATCATTGTGAGTTCGAGACCAGCCTGGGTTACAAAGTGAGCTCCAGGCCAGCCTGAACTGCATAGAGAGACCCTGCCTCAAAAAGACAAAAAAAAAAAAAAAAAATTTATACAAACAATATTCATTAAGAATAATGTCAAAAAACCTTTGGGACTTTTAATCTGTAAAACTTCAAGAATTCTAACTTGAAAATATGCTATGTAAACAAAGTCATTGGATCTGTTAATTAATTGTGAAGGGGCAAAATTACTTTAACTGCCCTGTTTTACTTCTTTTTTTTCTTTTCCTGGAAAGACTTTCAGAGATTAAGCATATTACTGGTTCACAGTATGCAATTTCACAAGTGATTTCTCTGACAAGGAAACATCAAACATATTTCACTAGAAACAGTTATTTATAGCAACAGATGTTCCACATTTAGGCCCTCTAATATTTTAAAGCTTCAGTTACCAAGAATTTGTTGAATAAAAAAAATTAGAATCCATCTGTTCTCTCTCATAGGTGAGTGGACCTGAATACTAAAATTGAATTAGCCAGTCACGCTTAAGAACTATCAGACAAAGGTGTAATTCCACCTTCACACCTACTGAATGCTCTCGATGAGAAGCTTTCAGAATTAGATAAGAAAAGAGAAATAATTTGTCACACCTGAATCACTGTTTCTAGTGACTGTCCTTCAAACTCAATACCCTAGCCAGCCAGCCTTCTACAAACACCTAGGTTTTACAGTTAGCTATTTAGGTAATTTCTTTTATTAACCAGTCTGTAAGTGAGACTAACATATCTTTTCATTTTCCAACTTTACATGAAAATACATAAGCAGGTGATGAACAGTGAATCTCCGAGAGCCCAGCAAGTGAAGGAAAGTGATGCCCTTGGTCACTGTTCTACCGACAGTCAAAATGGAGGGTTCTGGATTTCTTACACAAGTTCCTGATTTAAATTGCTGCCCTTATGAGTTAATAATAAACCATGCTGGATTCTGGATAATACGAGAGTGAACATGCACACCCACACCGACAAGGTGGTAGAGGCGAGATTCAGAAGTGAAGGGAATCACACTGCAGCAGAGCGCTGAAAGCTCTCAGTCTGCAAATGCTAAGCATAGCGATGAAAAATTACCCCATGCTAATATAAATGCCCAGGAATTTAATACAAGCTAGAAGAACAGAGATAAAACAGTGGTGGTCAAAGAGTTGGAGTCAATAAAATGGTGCAGTGGGTGCATGCCTATAATTCCTGCTATTTGGGAAGCTGGGGCAAGATGATCAGAAAGTTCAAGGCCAGCCTGGAGTGACTGACAGACCCTGTCTCAAAATGAAAAATAAAAAGGGTAGGGAGAGTAGCTTAGTGGTAGAGCGTCCCTCGCTTGATCTCCAGTACTGAAAAAGGAAGTGCAAAGCACACTTCTTAGAAGCAAGACACTTCTAATTTCTTCTAATGTAAGCATGCATTTAAGTAAAAATAATATATATTCTGTAACATAAATATAGAATATATATAAAATATAAATAAAATGTTTATTTCTGCTTCTTTTAGTCAAGAGATTTCTGATGATAGCATCCCATAGAATTTGACCCTCTAGCAATACTTTAGGGAGCATTAATTTAAACAGTGATCTCTGTAAAATGACCACACTTTGATTTTTCCTGCTAGATCCCTGGCTTGGTGACTTCTTTGTCCCCATCTTATCGTTTATTCTTCAGTACTTCTTACAGAATTCACGCATTTCCGGACAACTCATTTTGTGTTACCACATTTTGTCTAACATGTTATACAAAATGTGAACTAAATGAGTGACTGTGGTCTTATTACCTGAGCTATGGAGTAAGTGGGTGTCTCAACCAAAATGACCCTAATTTTGGGGTATTGTTATCCAGGCAAATTTTGTTAACAATAATCAATGTTTTTCCAAATAAATTTTCAACCATTCAACATTTGGAGACTGAAGTAGTCCAAGCAACTAAATATTCTTTCTGTTTGTGTCTCCTTTTCCACCAGTATCACCAGCACCTTAGAAAGGTTTTTCTTAATGTAGTTAAGAACTTTTTCTCATATAAATGCAAGTGAGCAGAAAGGAACTAAGATATTGCTTTATGTTTGTTATTTCTCCTATCCACATTTACTGCGCTGGTATCTTTTGATATTGGTTGATTAGGCTTCCATTAAACTAATGGAAATTAGTAAATGTCACAAATCTTTTTAACTAATATTTTATTGCTGTAGATGCTTAATTCCAACATGTTACACCTGAACAATTATTACTTTGCCACATCAGCTGTACAATTAAGAATGTTGAAAATCAATGAGAACGAGGTAAGAGCTTGGGTGCCTGGCATGTCATACAGTTGATGTTTGGGGCAAAATAGATAGCCACGAATTTATACGACAGCCATTCACCAAGTGCTTGAATAAAAACAAACCTCCCAATATAGTGTTTTTATTTTAGTGCCTCCCAGCTACTCATGGTCATACTTGAAGTCATTACCTGAAATTGGGAAGACAGGTGTTGGCGGGGTAGAGATTACTCGAGGGGACGTACTGTCCTCCAAATAAAAGTGTGCAGTCTGGAAGCATTTTCTGGAAAACAAAAGAAGAAGGCAATTTATACTTCTGTCTGTGTGGAAAATCAGATGACTTGTGGACTTCCTCTTGGAAATATCCAGATTAAAACGAAAGTGAATCTATGCCTAGCAGAATGATTGCTGTATCTAAAACTATTTTAACAAAACACAAGATCAGAAAGAGTATTATGTCTCCAAATTAATCTCATTTCTACCTGTGCCAGATGCAGAAGAGTTCATGAGTAGGAATCAGACACCGAAAGCAGAGATAACACTTGAGACGCTGTTTGTACCAAGAGTATTTTGCTGATATGAGAAACCTCAATGTCCAGACACTCTCCCACTGCTGCTATGCACCAAAGTGCCTCACCTCTTGGTCGGGACCAGGTCAAAGGCTGTTTGTACTTGACATGTAAGTGACCATGTCCCTTGAGATACATTCAGCTGCTTGCAAAAGGCAACAGGACATGATGATGTAGAAGTAAAGTTCCATGATGGTAACATCTTGATGCAGAAACAAGGCGGCTCTATATTATGTGGTGATAAAGTAGTGGCAGAATTTAAGTGAGGAAATAACAAGCACACAACCAAAACCTGGGGTGATTTTACTTGCAACAGATGCTGGTCTTGGTGGTGGTTTTGAGAATGAGTATGTTTGGTATCAATGACAACTACACCTACAGTGTTACCAGGATCTATTTTCATTCAGATAGAGTAATGTTTGGTAAGCGCACGCGAGAATCTATGGGGAAGGGCAAAGAACTGACTGCTGCTGTAAAGCAATGCAAACCACCCTTAATTTAAGAAATTTGGATATTTAATACTGCTGATGCCACTCTCTGATGTTAGCTATTTATTTGAAGTACTCATGAATGATTTATCAGAAATATCTGTGTGAAAATGGCAATTTCATTTTCCATTTTAAAGCATCAAGCTACAAGGTATTTATCCTAATGAGCTTTAACATAACACTTGCTCCTGTGCAGTGACATCTCTAAATCTTGAGATTTTTCTAGCAAGTCAGTTTCCTGGCTAAAATTCTTGAATGGCTTCCCACTGCAATTACAGTGATGTTGAATTATTTTAACAAGAGCTGGAAGAGTTTCATGACGTAGCCCCCACCAAATCAGTAGGTTCATCTCCTATGACTCTCACCCAGCAGGCTCCAGTCCACATTGGTCCTGCTTCACTCCCTCAGCAAAGCCCTGTCCACACTGTCTCAGGGCCTTGGCTTTGTTGCTCCCTCTGCTCACCTGCTGTCCTTCCCATTATCAATGCACATCTGTTCCTCTCAGAATCCCTGATCGTGCTAGCTAAAAGTGTCAGCCTGTCCTTCTAAGTCACTGGGCTTTGTCATTTTATTTGCTTTTGATTACTTATTACTGCATGAAACACTTCTAATGGGGTTATTTCCTGACAAACCCATTGTAAATTGAAAATATCATAAGTAAACTTCATATACTACAAACATGTACTAATGAAATAAACATTAAAAATAAAAGCACAGAAAGAAAAGAAATAGTGATACTCTTAAGTACCACAAGCTAGAAGTACATGCGATGCAATCAGCCTGCCAAGTGTCAGAGCCACGTGGCCCAGTGCCCTGCGGAGCAGCAGTCTCCCTAGGGCTCTGCATCTGACTAGGAACTGCAGCTCCCCTGCCTGGCCTCGCAGGAGAGCACGATACCGCACATGACCAGCATTGGAGAAGATCAAACTTCAAAAACACTTTCTACTGAATTGTACTGGTTTCACCCCAATGTAATGTTAAAAAAAATCAAATCATCTTAAATTAGGAATCATTTGTACTATTTTTAATGTATTTTACGTATGTGTTTGTTTGTTTTACATGTTTATAGTTGGTCTTCCTCACTGGAATGCATGCCTGATAGTTTAAAGTACTTTTTATGAATCACTGCAGCATTGGTCCTGAGTATTGCCATATTATAGATATCCTTAGATATTCAACAAATAAATTGCTATATGCGGAAATAGGGTAAAATTGTGTAGTTTATTTACAATGTTAATGTCACAAGTAGGGGGAATATCCTAAAGAAATAATCTGCATAGCAAAAATTAGCCTTCTGATTTGGTAGTGCAAGCCTTCGATAATCCAACCCAGAAGTGTAAATCGACAGAATACAGAATATTTCTCCAGGGAAAGAAAGTGGTACAGGAGCAAGATGACCGGATCCAGGATGAAATGACAAGGGAACCTGAGCTAGGATCACATCTGGAAAGCAGACAGTAGGCAGACTGACGAGCAATGGGACAGATGAGAACTACTGTCCCGTGATGAAGAAACTATTGGCAGTCGGTGTGAGAAAACTGAAGCCCCACTGGAGCAGAAGCTGCGAGAAATTTCAGTTTCTCTGTGCAACCACGGCTACCAAGCTTAGACACAATGACATGGAAACTGCATTGGGTACAGATTAGATCCTTTGGAAAGTACTAAATATAATTACCCAAGCAGATGAGAATTAAAAAAAGAAAAAGAACCTTCAGACTATAAAATGCCTTGAGCAACCTAGTGTGATTCATAGGGGATACAAGAATCGCTTTAGCAGTATCCCTGATACAGAGTTAAGATCGAGTTTGATATCTTTAGTAAGGAAGAGATCACTTCTTTGTGAATTGCTAGAAACTTCTTTCTTCTTCTAACGTGAAATCCATTCCTTCGTAAGTATCTCAAATGGCACACAAAGAGTTGGCCTTCCTGCTCCCCTCTGTGGCTCTGTTAGTAACTTCTTGTTCTGTACGCTAAATAGTTTTAGATTATGAAGTTAAGATTATTTAAACCTAAGTGCTATCTATCTGTGCTCCTCATCATGTTTGAAGATTCTGCTTGAAGCTTATACCCCAGTAACACAACCGCGTGATAGATCATTGAACCTGCCTTGTTTTCTCCTCACTTAGCACCTCTTCTCCCTCCTTCAAACCTGATTGTCTTCTGAACAAATGCCTCACTCTCCAATATGCCATGCAAGCCTTGTCCTCCTTCGGGACAGCTCAGAGGCATCTTCTCTGTGAAACAGCCTCTCATTTCCCACACAGATCCCAGAACTACACCTTCTCTGTCTCCACTGCACCTAACACAAACTGCTCATTGAAATGACTGTTCTGAAAAATATACCTAACCAATCAAAAAATTATCTTAGGTTTCTAGACATTATTCTACATGGTGTTATGTTAAATATTGTTCTTAATTGGTTGTTAGGGTAATTATTTTTATAACATACTTGGTTTATTTCGGTTATCCTTCTTGTAATACGTTTAGAAGATAGGGTTGTTTCTTGATTTCTTGTGAATCAAACTCTTAAGAATTGAAAGCATCAAACTACAGCAATATATGTATATCATGTTTACAGTAGCACAATTTGTAATAGCTAAATCTTTGAAACCACCCATCAACCAAGGAATGAATAAAAACAGATGTGGTCTTTTCATACAATGGAATATTACTCAGCCATTTGAGACTTTTACAGGTAAATGAATGCAACTTGAAACCATACTTCTAAGTGAAATAAATCAGACTCACATATGTGTAAACATAGTATTATTTCCCTAGTGTGAGAAGCTAAAAGAGTAAATAAGATTCAAAATGTACAATAAATATTGTGAAATGGGAAGAAACTGTTCAAAAGGAAAGAGAAACTGGGATGAGGGAAAGGAGAAGAGAAGGAAGGGAAAAGGAAAAATATATATATACAAGATAGTTAAGACAGTTTTATTACTAATTTCTTTTAGTTCATTGAAAAGAAAGATTTGAAGCTGGGGATTTAGCTCAGTGGCACAGCGCCTGCCTGGCAAGCGCAAGGTCGTGGGTTCGATTCCTGGTACCAGAAGAAAAAAACAAAACAACAAAAAAGAAGAGAAAGATTTATGCTTATATTGTTTGATCAGTTTCTCATTCCTATATCCTGTAATCTGAGCAACTACTTTGAAGATACCAATACACAATATTTTAATCATTGTGACTCTCCTATCACCTTGTTTTGAAATCTTGTATCATTGTTTTTACTCTTTAATATAAAAAAACCTCTTAATAGAGTACAAGGCGTATAGCAGGTACTCAGTACTCAGAAATCCATGAATTACATGGATTTCTAGAAGCAAAAAATCCCCACCAACCACCATCAGCTGTCTCCTAGATTATCTTGCCTACCTGAGCCTCAAATTAAACAGTTTCCAATGTCAAAACACATGTGCATGTGGGGGAGTGGAATATACAGGTACAGAAAGATGGGAAGGGGGAGATACTTGGATTGAAGGATAAATGATATTCCACTAACTTGGAGGGAATGGAAAGGAGGCAGTATCTGATAAACTATAAAAAGGTAAATTAAAACATATTGACACTGAGGTTTAATTTGCTAATGTTTGTTGTTGTAACTGGGTAAAAACCAACTCTACTTGATTCAACTATTTAATAAATCTTCATTGGTTTTAGAAGGTAGTTTTCCCTATATTATTTGACATTACTTTCCAAAAAGAACCTTTTAAGTCATACCAGAAAGCTTACATTCGGGAAAAATTACAACTGGATAGACTGACTTATCAAGTTCATCTGTATAAAGTTTAGGTATATTTTATGGGGCAGTGTCACATGGAAAGTGACATGCCACTTAAAAGGCAATATGGTACCAGGAAGCCTCCACTCTACATTGGCACTTACCTTCCATGACCCATGAATTTGAATTTATGGTAAAGGCAGGATTAATAATTACTTTCCTTCCCACCCCACAAACCAAAACAGCAGAATTTATGGAAAGTTCTTCTCTATACTGCTTTTAGCAACGGGGTGTTCTACTGACTACAACTGGCAGGTTTAGGTTCTGACTCAAATGATTTGGCTCCTATACATTGTATCCTAAAACATCTGGAAAATAATTTTAAGACATTATTTAGTGTATGACAAGATTCAGTATCTACAGTCCATCTGTTCTGAATAAGCAGCGACTGTCTTCACGTCTATGTGCTAAGTGTTGATGACTACGTCTCCTGCTAATTATCACTCAGTCACGGTGAAAAAAGTGATGACTGTTTTAAACTTGTAGACATAGGTGCTATCAATCAATGGTAATCTGATTATTTAATTTACACCTTTTCATCACAGTATTTAGAATTAAAAGCTAGAAAAGTGTAATTATTATTCCATTTCCCAGTAACCATATACAAATGTGAAACAACGTTCAGCAAGCTAAACTCATTCACAAATCTCCTCAAAAAGGACTTACTGCGAACTTAAAGATGACCCATGGAGTCCACCCAAACAGCAAGCAGAGTAAACCTATCCATAGGTGGGCAAATGACATACCCAAGGCTGTGTAGGAAATTCAAAACAGAACCGTGAAAGAGGCTCAGATTTTACTACCGGCAATTTGCCCCATACTTCTTCTTAAGGTAAATACATAGTAACATCTTCAGTCAGGAAAATTAGATGAGAGGATTTATTACCCTACCTGAGATTTTCTCCTAAAATTAGGCCACAATAATGTTTACATTTTCTTCTAAGAATTTTATGGTTTTAGGTCCTTCATTTAGATCCATGGCATTTTTTGGATACAATTTTTTTGTACAATGTGAGAAAAAATATTTTCTAATGTGGATGCCTAGTTGCCTTTGAACCATTTATAGAAAGGACTAGTCTCTCTCCATTGAAAACTCTTGGGGCCCTTGTCTAAAATTTGTTAACCACAAACACAAACACTTATTTTCATACTCTCAGTTCTACTCCATTGGTCTATTTATCCACTCCTAAACCAATTTCAGAACCTTTTGATTACTGTGGCTTTGTTGTAATCTTTGAAAGTGTAAGTCTTTGTAAATTTCTAGAATTCTTTGTGATTTTGGGCTAGGGGATACTTTCTTAGGATACCAAAAGCAAGATCAGTGATGGAAAATGGATGAATTGAATTACATCAAGATTACAAATTTTAGCACTTTAAGTTGTTAAAAAAGTGAGAATCCCATACACAGAATGGGAGAAAATAGTTGAAAATTAGATATGTTAAAGGGACTCGTATCTAGAGTATATAAAAACAGAACTCAATCATAAAGGAAACAGTGCAAGAAAGGATGTGAACTCACATTTCTCAAAAGAAGATCTATAAATGTCCAATAAGCACATTAAGAAATAGTCATTAGTCATTAGGACATACAATAAATGAAAAAACATCAAACTATATAATTTAAATAGGTGACTTTTATGATGTACCAATTTTACCTCATTAAAGCTTTTAAAAATGTTTAAATATATATTTAGGAAAATTCATAAGGACCATTACTGCCAGGACTGTTACTTTTAGGCCATCAGATTTTTAAACTTCACCACAGAGCATAATGTCCAGAAATGGCTGAAGTCTTTCCATTTTAGCTGGGTAAAGCACATTATTTACAGACGCATCTATGCTGGAATCTGAATAGTTCACACAAACTTTGAAGGCTAACGTGATTCAGCACATAATACCACTAGTGTATAATGATCTAAAAAGTTACATTTCAGAATGAATTTACTTCATATAGACGTGAGTAGGACAAACGGTTAACAGTATTTAGTGAATTCTGAAATAAGCAAGAGTGACAAATTTTATCCGAACAGTTCATAGATTACAAAAGTGCTCACTATTTAAACACTACACTCTATTCGAGGCATGTAAAATGCTATTTGTGAGGAAAACAGAACAATGTATGGGATAGAGTCAGTAATATGTTTTCAGCTGGCACTTTTCTCTCTTCCTCACACAGAACAGATGGGTGACCCATAGTAATACAGGATAGACCCACTCCAGGTTTTACTTTTTACATGAAATATAAAATCATATGAAATAGACAGTGTCTTCTAATTCTTCAGAAAATATACTTAGAAACAGTAATAGATATTAAGAGACTCATGCTAATTATTTCAATTTCATAGCTATAAATTACCTGACATCTTTATTGGAACTCTGCATTAGCACTATTTACTATGAAATAGAATTTGGTTCTATTTTTATCTTATCTTAAATTTGTTTAAAATTTAAAATTTTAAATTAATTCCCATTAATTTAAAAATGGATGCGCAGATTAGCTTGAAACCAGGAATCTGAACAAACATATCCAAACATGGTACGCATGCGGGGAGAAAATCAAATGAAAGCTAACTGAACAAACGCTATGTGACTGTATACTGTGTCCAAAGCGTTCTGCTGGACATGGAGCGTGCTGTGAAAAGAGGCAACCGCAGCAATCGCGCTGCGGTACAGACTCAAGAAAGCAGGTGTTTTGCATCTTATTATGGACAAATGGACTCCTAATCCACCACACAGGGACAACATGCTCTGCTCTCCATAGTCTGCAGACTACTCTGCTCTGTAAAGGAAGTCAGGCATAAAATACAGTTGGTTATGCAAGCGTTCTGCCTCAGCCAACAAACGTCCATTTACATACAATTACATTCCCTAAGCCTCCCTGACTTCACCGCATCCCACTCACTTACTTTCCATCCTCCTGCCTGCCATACTCCTGCTTGGAATGCTCTTCTTTATCTCTGCTTCCTGTACACTATGTGGCTCCAGCTCTACATTCAATTTTATACTGCCTGGTCTAGCCTATGAGATTCCAGGTTCTCCAATATCTCAGTACTACATTTCATCTGCTACACATATGCTTGGTTGTAATATTTTATAAAATTAGTTTTTCTCATTAAGCATGAATATCTTGAAACAATGGTACTCATTCATTCATTCATTCATTTTTGGTATTTCCTGATAGCAGTCAACACAGTATTGGATAAATGGGAAACAATAACCATAATAAATATTTTGGAATAAACTGAGAGTATATTTTGAAATAACACATAAAGAATAGTAATATTAATAGAATGAAGCTATTAAACAAAAAAGAAATTAACTATAGATCTGCAGAAGAAAACTCTTTTTAAAGTTTAAAGTATAAGCAAAGCCCTTTGTTGGCTTACAGTTATGAATTCTTGTATCATTATAAAGTTTTTGTTTTCTAGCAGATAGTTTTACTGTTCTACATGACATCTTGAGTCAATCTACTAATTACTTGTGTGTTATGCTTGCAGCAGAATGGGAAGCTCATGATGGCTGCAATTATCCTTGTCCTTTAAAAGTTTTAAAGCAACACTGATGAGAAGGAAGTTATATTTTATCCTTGAAGCGAATGATAAACAATTTTAAAAACCCATGCATCTTAACATAGTAATTTATTCCATGCTTACATTTCTATTTTAATAACTTGGTTTTTACTTTCATGCACAGATTATCATTTTCCCTCAGTATACAGAATGGACATCCATATTGTACAAATTAACTGAAATTAAGTATTTTATCATATCAAAAATTATGTTTTGCCAAATAATAATTCTTGGAAATAACAGCTGGCAAAAACTTAGATTTATTTAAATAGTGTGGTATTATTTGGATGTTAATTAGATTACATGAAAATGCAACTGTCAAAACACTGTACTAAATATTAGCTGAGTCGATGTTCCTCCATTTTAACTTTAATTGTTTAAGAGGAAGAACAATCCACCTTTTGACTACTATGTCTTTCGACTCACAATTTCACCTTGCTCATGGTTACTTGAATAAGTTAATGGCAACTCTCAAGTAAAAAAATTTCAAATATGCTTTTAAGACCTTTCAGATGAAATACAGGCAAAATCTCAGCTTTATGCATTAAATTTTCTATAGGAACACTCAACTTACCTCCAGTAGATGAGAATACCCACAAGAACCACTAGACAGATAAAAGTCAGGGCTGACACGATCACGAGAGGTATAACAGCCTTCTTCTCAGATTCCAACCCCTCAGCTAGACCAATACGTGATTCATGGCTACTATTACTGGCTTCTGTAGTCAGAGAAAATTGAGAGAGTTGATATTAAAGATGAAGGAAAAACACAACATTTTTCAACTGATTAACTGCAACCTTTACTGCTGTTACTTACCTTTAAGATTTTTTACTATATGATGCAAAGTCTACAATTAAGGTAACTGAAGTAAAGTTTAGAAAGTACGGAAAACAATTAGAGCTGAAAAACTGTAATCACACAAGTCAGAGATGCCTTGGCGAGACAGGAGCATAATACTGTCAGGACAAACTTGCTAAAGGAAAACAGAATTTTTTCTAATATTAAAATTAGAAAACAATCTAATTTCTAAAATTGATCAGAAAAACAATGCTACTTAGTATATAAGCATATATAATCTCAATTTGTAAAATTAATTTTAATTTTACCCCTGAAATTCAATAAATGATTAGCAGCAATTGATAATTTTTCATAAAGAAAAGAATTAGAGGTACCTTTTATACATTAAAGTATTTGTTCAATCCAGTAAACTATTTTAATCCTAAATAAAGGTTGGTTTTAAGTGATATTGAATATGTTTTTTATCTTTTTCTATAAAAAATAAGAATACTACTTACTCCATCTGAATTGAAAAAAACATGTATTTAAGAAATGCTTCTCAAATATGCAAGTGGAAATAATGAAAAAAATCTGATTATGTTCCTTTTAAAAGATGGAAAATAACTAATTTTGTGACTAGTCAGGTACATTACTGTACATCACTCTGAAAATCTCTACAACTGAGAAAAGTTGTTGAAAAGGGTTCCAGAGTCATGTTAGTGGCTGGACATAATCCTTCCTCTGTTTTAAGGTGTGTTTGGTAGGAAGCCAAGATAATCGTGCAGGACAGCTGTTTTCATGAGCATGTACTGACATTGCTACAAAGTAAGAGCCCCTACTTGTCTACCTGTAGAGGTACTAAGATAACTAAATTTAAGTTTTCCATCAAAGTTTATATGCTTCCTATCCCCTTGGAGCATGTGATGTGCTGTACCAAGTGTACGATTATTAGTGGCATGATGTAGAAGGAATCAATTTAATTTCAGATGCTTAAGACATTTGAGACTCATACACATTCGTATACATGGCATTAAATACATGTAATTCCAGAGAGCTCGAGATTCACTGTGGCAGTTGCTTTGTGTAATTAGGTGTGATGGCAAAAAGCCATAAAGATGATCCACTTATACAGGAAATGTATCAGAGGAATGAAAATGACCTCTGTATTTCCCAGGATGTTTGTTCTTATAGCTGCATCTGCTAGAGAAAAAGAGGAATTCAACAATATAATCCATGATAAAACCATACAACCATAAAACCTTACAAAACGTGAAAATCTTAGAAATCAAGTGAATCCTGTGCTGTAGTTAACATTCTTGTGATAAAAGTCAAAGCTTCAACTTTTTTTAGGTCAACAATATGCTTTTGCAACTAAGCAATGTGCAGAGTCATTTAGGTACCTAGTAATCTGATAGTGACTGCCTTGAACATTTCCCTGCAAAACTGAAAAAGGCATCTTAGTCAATTAGGATTGTCTTTATATTTTTCCTATTCTAACTATTGTTACCTAAATGGAAAGAAAGTTTGAGAGTAGTAAAGGAAATAACCCACTTAGCAAAATCCTTACCTAATAATTATAATGGTGGTTAATGTTACTATCTACATCAGTCATTCTTTGTTTTTTGTTGTTGTTATTTGTTATTTGTTTTTTGTTTTTTGTTTTTTTTTTTTCCCCCGGTACCAGGGATCAAACTCAGGACCTTGCGCTTGCCGGGCAGGCGCTGTGCCGCTGAGCTAAACCCCCAGCCCCGTCAGTCATTCTTAAACTGTGATCCCCAGAGCAGTGGTATTGGCATCATCTGTAACTAGTTAGAAATACAAATTTGGGGCCTTATCCAAGCCACACCAAATTTTCTGAATGAGAAACTCTAGGGCAAGGCTAAACAAACTGTTCTGACAAGTTTTACAGGTTATGTTAATCCATGCTGTTTGAGAATCGAAGATAGAGATTAAGATGCACATGAAGTAAGCTTACATAAATTATAGAGATTAAAATATGTATAAAGTAAGCTTATATAAATATTTAATGATCACAAATATCTATAACAATATATATGGATGTATATATAGGAAAATACATCTCATTTATGAGATATGTTTGAGCATATATGTGATATGTATGAAAGACATATACCACATAAGGAAAAATATGCACCAAATACATATCATGTATATATGCATGCACTATATACACACATGCGCATACATATATCTTGCACACAGACATATTCTAAGTTCTCTAGGAGATCAGCTTTTATGCATTTTGAGGAATGAGATTGATAATTCTATGGTAATTATACATATGGGTGCTGGGATTTTATTTTTTTTTATTTTTAAAATTTTTTTTTTGGTTTTTCTCTGGTACCGGGAACCAAACTCATGACCTTGCGCTTGCCAGGCAGGCACTTTTGCCGCTGAACTAAATCCCCAGCCCCAGGTGCTGGGATTTTATACAAGATGGCATACCATGTGAAAGTACAGGTAATCAGCTGGTCACCTTGTATACTGTAATGAGAAACAGCTAGTTGTATTGGTTTTATTTTCATTTAAGTGAGACTAAAATAAGTACCCTGATATGGTTCAGTACTGTATAGGGGCTATTATGAAATAAAGGACTAAAGTTAATATTGTAAAATGTTTCTGAGAATAAAATATAATTTTGGTGTTTTTCAATGACTTAGTAGATGGTATGAGCTACCTAAATGATAACATAAGAACCTACTAGTAGTCTATTAGGAAATAAAAATCTAAGATTAATATTTTATAATATGTTTTGAGACTAAAGCACTGTAATTTTGGTATTAAAACTTGAGCATTACACACATTTTACTGTCCTTAGTCTTAGAATATACTTCCTAAGAAACAGATGTTAATAATACATATTTCTATGCTTAGTTTTGTGCTTATTTTTTATGTGACCTGCTTTAAAAAACTTAGTATCCCTAGGTTTCTGTTTACTCCTTTATAAATTGCATATGCTAATATCTGCCTTATTTATATTATTTTGAGGCATATATCTTATTAAATTGTTTTATATTTTAGAAATATGCCATAATTATGTTTTAGACTAAGGAGTACATTCAGTAGTTAGCAAGGTATACTACATGTGATTTTTACAGATATAGTTTTAAAAACAGGCAAGAATTTTTCCCTAATCTTGCTTAAGCCTATATTTCATTAATTATATCACTTGATGATGCTAGATGTTATATTCATATTACTGTATTTTTCTTCATTAGTGGTAGAACATACTCTTAACAATTCATAAATCTAGTGCACCAAAGAAAAACTTGTTCTAGTACATTTGGTACTTGTACTAAGTACAATATAGCAAGAAAACATAGATGTCACTACCTATTAAGCAAAGGGATGAATTACTGATATTTTCCTGTAATATAAATCTAATAAAAACTCAAAAGCCAAGTAGCATTATTAAGGACAGATAACAATTCATATGCATAACAATACTAATGACTATTGTGACCTAGGAGCTCATTATTCCTTCTCACATACGAGTCTAACAGTTTAAATTGAAATGCAGTGTTAGAAAGGTATGAAATCAGAATACAGAATAAAAATTTCCCTATCAAAACGTATGAACTTTTAATTGTTCCTTCAGTAAGAAAAAAATGTACAACTAATTCAACTGATGAAAATAACAAACAAGAAAATATCTTAATGAGAGTGGTCTGCACTCTATATTATATTCACTTTTTTGAAATAAGAGAGCAAGATTATATTTGTCTCCCTTTCACTTGTTAAGATTGAATGTTTTTGTTGTTAATTTAAAAACTTTATCATTTAATAAAAGCAACTTACAAAATGCTCACCACCAACTGAATGAAATTATCCCATGTCCCATATGCTTAATGCAAGAGCACTCTTCTTCCCCCCCTTAGCATATAAAGCAGACATCTGTAGTATGTATGCTGCAAGTAATCTACTCTAGGAAACATCTGGCCCATAAACCAATGTGCATAAAATACATTAACAAATGAAATGCACCTCTACAGAAAATCTACTGTTCTACATCTTGTCGTCCAATACCTATGCGTACTGTGCATATTAATGCCTGTTATTTAACTTAGAAAAGTATATAACAGCAAGCACAAAACTGTATTTGTTGGTTCACACTGCCCTCTTTAGGCAACAGTGTAAGTACTAAAACAAAGACAATTTTTAAATATTAAAACTTCTTAAAGTTCACCGTTAGCTCTCCAAATTTATCAATAAAACTCATTTTAAAGCTCTTCATGTGATGTGTGTGTACAAATTGTTTAAGTTCTTTCCATAGGCACGTCAGAGAGAAGTGCTTGTGTCATATTACTGTTAGCTTTAGTGCACAGTTCATTGTAGGACACAAATGTGAAAATAAAAATCACCTTAAAGTGGCACACTTATTTTAAAAGTGGTATACTAACAATGTATTATTCAATGATTGCTCCCATACATAACAGGCCTCCTTTAGAATAACATAAATTAACAATATATAGAAATACTTTATACATTTGGACAGCAATTAAGGATCATATGCTGGATATTCATTTGAAATAATGAAATTATACTTCAAAAGCTATAAATTGATTTGTTGAGTATTTTGATTTTGAAAAAAGGTGACCTGCTGTTTTAGCAAATACTTCTATGTGTCCATGTTTCTGTCTTACTTTTGGACCAAGAACATCACGATACCTTATCCTGTTCTTCTGATCACAACTAACCTGCCTCTGAACTGTCGAACACTTCTGAGTGCCCGCTGGCAACAGACGGTGCTGAGGACTGTGAGGACCCAGGAGTTCGCTTCGAGTCCCCTGCCTCCAGGACCCCGTCAGTATCTCTTTCATTAACATCTGGAAAACTGAAATCTGTGGAAGTCTCATTATCATTGAGGCTATCTGAGGTACCCTGCCCTGATCCACTTTCTTCATCACTTGTAAGAATTGCCCATGCCTTAGATTCTGGGGTGAGAGGAAGCACAGCACTACTAATCTGAATGTCAGTGTCTTCTTTTCCATCATTGTGCTTCTGGGTTAGCACAGTTTTTGGCCCTGACTTATCAAGATTTCTGTCCATGCCAATTTGACTGTCTGAGGTGACACCTGGGACTTTATTTTCTTCTTCAGAATTCTCAGAGAATGAATTCAACACTGGATTATTGTGATCCACAAGATTATTTTCCTGGGTGTCTGAGTCATTTGTTACCTTTTCCTGTGGTTCTCTATAGGATAAGCATGACATACACTTATTCATGTATAGACCTTCACCATCATCATCATCATCATAATCATCAATAGCACCATCTTCACCACCACCTACTAAGTCAGCATCAGACCTGGCACTATAAGTCAGTTTAGAAGTAGCTTTAGAAGGAAGCAACAACTTGGCTGTGGTCACAGAACCATCTCTTTCAGGGGAAACAGGTATAGTGGAAATGTACCCATATTCTAAGGAGACAGAATGATCAGTAGATGCAAGAGTGTCAGGAACAACTGCTGGAATCCCAGCAAGTGCCTCATCAGTATTAGAACTTTCGGTGGAGGTGAAAGCTTCATCGGAATATGTAGGCTTATTTGTAAATGTATTTGGTGGCTCATCAACTGATAAAATAGGGGTAGCAAATACATGACTTCTTTTTTCGGGGAAGACCTGATTAATCTCCAAATTGGCAGTTTGGAATAACTCATCATTACTGTACAAAGATGGCACAACTTGCTGGGAACTTTTGCTTGTAAGCAAAACTGATTCAAAATCTTTCTCACTTGTGTAAGAAACTGTTACACCTTGCAGTGCAGGAGAGTGAATATTAGAAGCCAGTATTTCAAAGCCTGGTACAGACGTAGAGTGCAGCCTGTTTTCACTTGCAGCAGAATTTGATGCCATGAGATGCAATACTGTCGAGCTAATTTTATCAACCTTGGGGCTTTCAACCAATATCGGCTCACTGGGCACAGCTGGAAGAGCAGTTCTAAGCAAGGTGGCAACATCAGAAGGCTGAAAGGAAGGCTGCAGCAGGACTTCAGTATTTAAAGGAGATGAGGCCTCCTGGAGGAGGAGCTGAGTTGGAGATAACATTTCACTAGAAGTAGGGTCAGAAGATGCTGGCTCTGAGCTTGCTCTAGACACAGATTTAAGCGAAGGGTCACCAAATGCTGCAGATATAGTATGTGTAGGTTGAACTGGAAAGTTATTTTCTGGAACTTGACTAATCTCATGATCAAAAACCTTTGTGGCAGTGTAAGCAAGAGACCCTGGATGCATGCCCTCCGTGCTAGAAATGAAAGCAGAGGTCTCTTGTAAAGACCTATTGAACTTATTTACATGATCATACATGTTGGGCATGACTGTGCTTTCAGAGTGGTAGGCAATCTCACTGAGAGAAGAAATTTTTAGTTCAGTCTCATTTCCATATATTATTTCACTTTTAGAAAGCGGCTTATCATCATCACCAAACACAGATATTGTATATGTAAATTCAGCTAGAGAAACAGGTGAAGAAATGTTAAGGGCTATCAGCCCATCTGTGTCAGGCAAAACAAATTCACTGTCGGAGGAGGCTCCAGACCACTCCCCATCACCAGAGAGGGAATGAGCAGGCTGCAGGAATGACGCAGTCGGGATTATTAACGAAGACTTAGGCACTGATATTTGGCTAGGGCTGCTAAATATGGAACCCTGATAAGATACAGCAACAGAATCATGCACAGGTATTGCAGAACTGTAAGGAACAGCGAAGGTGCGTTGAGAGCCCTCATCATGAGGTAAGGCATAAGAAGGTTCAGGCCCTGAAGAATGTGCATGCATCATAGCATCACTGCTAGATGGCTCAGCTTGAGGAAACATACGTGTTTTATAGAGGACACCAGACTCACTACCAAATTCCAATGTCTCTGAAGCAGCATGAGCACTGGTCTGATGTGACCCGACATCAGAATACTGAGCGAGGCTGGGCTCTAATAACACATCAGCCCCAGCCGCAGGCAGGGAAGCATGCAAGGATACCTGATCACTCTCAGTAGCTGCAGGAACTTGTGGAAGAATTTGAGAGACCGTATGCAGATGGCGAAACAATTCACTACTGAAGGAAGCAGAGGAAAATGGAAGCAAGGGTGCACCATCATAGGAAGACAGGGTGGATTCAAATGACACATCGACACTGGGAAATATAGGCGTAGCATGCAAGGTCGAATCACTACTTGAAGCAGCAGGGGCAGTGCTGAGGATCTGATTGTCAAGCAACAAAGGGGTGGCTAGTGGGAACACTTCACTACTGTAGGAGGGCTGAAGAGGTGTCTCACCATTGTACACTGGCTGAGTTGTCTGCGCCTGTACCACTCGGATGGTGGGGGCTGAACCGTGCCCGGAGGATGAAGTGAAAGCAGACAGTGTTACCTCGGTTGGGAAGTAGGCAAATGTAGAATAATGTGGCATCTCCATATCTGTGCCTGAGGGGCCCTGTGACACGAGGGGGCCTGGAGGGATGGACTCCGTTTCCTTCTCAGAATCATCTGTGAGGAGCTGAGTGTCGTTAGTCTGGAGAAAGGTCTCTTTACCCGATCCAGTGTCAGGCTGGGTTGTTCCATCTGTGGAGCCAGGAAGCCACACACCCCTGTCAATGGAAGGGTCTCTGAGTGATTCCTCTGAACCTGACGAAGCTGGATCTTCTGAAGCATTTCTTGTAGATTCTGGTTTAAGCACAGTATATGTGATGGTCTCTGGGTTTTCTGAAGAAAATATATATCCATTTGATATGTTTTCAAGGATGAATGGCACAGAAGAAGTTGCAGGACTAGAGCCTGAAGAATCATCAGCTCCGCTACCAGGTTTAAAATCAGTTAGTAAATTGTCTTCCTCACTGATGTCTGTAGACACCTCTGGATACTCAGTTATAGAAACCGTGTTTAAAGATTCTACAGTTCCAGACAGGTTCATTTGTGGAAATCTGAGAACAGTTTCAGAGCCATCATCTAAAGAGGATGAAGTACCTTCCACAGTATGTGGCAGCAGTTCAGTCTGAGAAAACAGAAACAATTCCTTTGCCGTTGCCAATTCAGGGCCTGGTCGGGGAGTAGAATTTAAAGGTGTGTTGGGGAGAGCAGCCTTTCCAGAGAAGCCGCCTCCTCTCGCTGGAGATCGGTTGGTCTTGCCCTCGTTGTACCTGGTCCCTATGCGGTTGTAGTGTGTCGTGGTGGACACCGGGGGTTCCTTCTTCCGGATTTGGTTTGTGGCACGGTCTCTACCAGGATTCACAGCAGAGTCTTCCTCAATGTCTTTTTCCTTTTCTTCCTTTAAAAAGGAAACAAGACTTAATGGGACACAAAGGACTGAGAAAAAAATCAACTGTTAATAACATCTTATACCTCGAATCTGCATATTTAAGAATCTTGGGAACTTTTTACCCTTAGAAAATACCTGTTTTATTCTATTCTATCCTACTTACTCACTATGTCTCTATCCTATGTAACCTTTCTTATCACTTAGAGCAAGTAATTAAGCTTAATTAAAATATATTATTTATAGCTGCCTTTATTTTAATGTTATAGAATGAGACAAGTAAATAGATTCCACTGCTTTAAAAGTTTATGTATATATGGAGTGTAATTTAATATGGTATTTATTTTCTTATTCTTATGTTTCTTTATTCATTTCCCCAGGCAAAAAAACTAAATAGCAATTAGCTTTCTTATAATATGAAATGGTAGCAAAACTATTTATTTCAAAGACAAAATGAGTTGGACACCAAAACATATAATTATATACAACTTTTAAGTCATCATAAGGAGAAAATTTAAGATTTAAAAAGGCGTTTGGTTTTATTTTCCTTTCATTTTTAATCCTTTTAAATTTCAAGCAACTTGGTATTTTATTTTTTTATTTATTTAATTTCTAATAATAAAAAGATACCCCAGGCAAATTTTAATAAAAACAAAGCTGCTCTAGCACTGTTAATATAAGACAAATTATGATTTAAGGTGCAACTTGGTATTTTAAAGGCAATTTGTCAAAATATGACTCTAAAGTAAGTGATTTGATTTGCTGCTTCCCTTAGCATCACTGTTCAGAAGGCCAAAGCTTTCATGCAAACTTAGGACAACTGCCATGGAGTGTTCGGCCTAGAGGTTTACCATGAACTAACTAACTAACTAACTAACTAACTAACTAACTAACTCTCTCTTTCTCTCTCATAAAATTGGGAGTATTAAGCTTGTCCAATCATAGTTCTTGTAAACTGAATTGCCGAAGGTCAAAAGATAGTATTTTTTAGCCCATGTGGGAGTTGTTTTTGTCAGCATCTTGGTACTCAACAATTTCTTAAAATGGTCATCACGGAGATCTTCTGTTAGGTCTTTTAAGATCATACCTAGTAAAAGAAAAAGAAAAGTGCTCCTATACAAATTAGTCAATAGGAAGAATACAAATCTCAAACCACAGGAGCTTAAGGGAATGTGTCATACAACCGGAAACCCGCACTGCATGAATCAGAAGCTTCCGATACCTGTAGGTTACTTCAAGCTTCTTTTTTTAATGGTTGTAGGGTATTTTCTAAAGTACATGTGCTAATTCTTAAGGAGTGAATCAGCTTTATTTGAATTGGAATGAACTTTTAAAATGATGACCTTAATTTTTCTAAACAAAGTTCCTCATGAATTGTCAATACTATATTTCGCCATGGAATTTTGCATTCTGTCTGATACCTTGGTTCACAAGGGTAACCTGTGAGATTTCACCAAATACTTTGGTGAATGAGAGTCCTTTCATTTGAAAAACTAAAATATTCATACAAAAGGAAATAAAAATAATTTGCTTTGACCTGCTGTTGGTGAAAATCTGTTGATGCCAGATATTTCTTCTTTTCACAAAAGTTCTCACAAACATTTCTCTTACAATCTTATCCACATGTTTGCTGAGGATCAATGTTAAGCTAGCAGTATGGACTTTGTAAACATTTTCTCATTATTGTAATTGTATTTGCCTAGTTCTCTAATGTCATTCCACACTCCTACCCTCTACTAAAACTCTATTCAAACCCCTCTTTTTCTCCTGCTTTCCCTTACTCTCAGCAGATGGACTTCCTGTTTAGTCTCCAGGGAAAATGGAAGCCAACAAACAATATTACATCTCTTCCAAACATTAAAAACATCCATATTCAAGGCTTAAAAACCATAATGGGGCCAGACTTGGTGGCACCATCTATAATCCCAGCATTCTGGGAGGCTGAGGCAGGAGGATTACAAACTCAAGCCCAGCCTGGGCAATGTAGTGAGCTCATGAGAACCTGTCGCAACATAAAAACAAAAAAATTAAAAAGGACCAGGGATCTGGCTAAGTATGAGGGCCCTGGGTTCAATTTCCAGGAACACATACACACAAGAAAGCATAATGGACACATTCCCCATTTTTATGAGTCTCTATCATGCATGCGTGTGCACGCCATTGAAATGAATAGTAATAGATTAAGCCATGTTTTCATCCTATTGTGGACTTATGCTTCCAGAAAACAACTATGATATGAATCTGTCCTCATTTAATTCTTTATTACTGTAGTTAAGTTCAATAGCATCAAATATATGGATTTCCCCAGTCAACTGTACTAACTACTGCTCCTGTACCTATGATTTTCAAGGCCTCATGTGTGGCGGGAGCTGACTTCCTCTCCCTCGGCAGTGCCAGGGTATTTTGCTTGGTCTTTCAGTGAATGTGAGCTGTGCCTTCGCTGGGCATCACCACCATGCTTGCAGCTTCATGATAACACAGCTGGCATAAATGACTTTTGCTTCTCTCTTAGGTCCCAGTCTTCCTCTGCCCGAAACCACAATGGCACTAGATGCTCCTCTGCCCTCTTGCTGCCTCCTCAGTGTGCTTCTATTCTCGCTTTGCCCTCCCAGATTCTTTCTCCCAAGGTCTCCCTTCTGCCTGTGGGAAGCTAGGTGGCAGGAGAGTGAAGTTACTCCCAGAGGTCACCACAGATGTCTCTGTCCCACCACAAAGGTCCCAGCATTTGCTGTGTTACTCTAGCTAAATTCTCTTTTCACCTTCCAGGCCTCGGTGTAGTGACCAGGCCCTGATACCCCTGAAGGGAACAAAGCTGTCCCTCGCTCACTCCCTTGGACCCTTCCACACATCTGTGAACAGCCCATTCATTAACTCAGGGAGGCCATGTGAGTGTGGCATCCGGTGCTTGCTGAGGCCTGGGCTGGTGGGTTATTTTGTTTCCTCCTCTTCAGAAGCCTTTCTTTAGGCAGCCTGTAGAGACACACAGTACCCAGTGTCTCCATTTTCTTCTCTAGCGGGAAGATGTGCTTGCGCTTGTGCCGTCTATAACAGGGGGGACCGGGGCAACCTGACGTCCATGCTCTTGGATGTCTTGGATGGGAGCGTTAAGACCAAAACAAAGGTGTTCCAAGCTCATTTACAGCCTGTTCCCACAGATCAATCTTACACTAAATACAACATTCCAATTTCATGTAGAAATTTCCTAGCAACTTACATTAGAAATTTTAAATAACTTTTAAGTATATGTTGACAGCTGCTTTATGTCATGTCCATGTTCATTAACAAGAAAAATAAACGCACAGCCATGGTAATGGGCGTTACAATGAAGAGTAATTGACCACTCCTTGATCCTTTTTAAAAAGTCCATGACGTATATTGCATTTCACATGTAACTCAGAGTGTGGCTCACTAAATGGAATCAAGTACTGAAATGATTTTTACTCAGACCAATAACCTGAACTGATAAAACAGCATAAAAGTAGATTTTTCCTTCTTTTCACTTGCTTCTGTTGGTCACTGTAGGAGTATGTACATATCCACATGCATGTTCACAAGCACATGCCACACACAAAGATATCCTTAGCTGAATTTTGTGAGCTCTTGTTGACAGGAAGACCAGTCATTTCACTAAAATAATCTCTTGTGAGACAGCAGTCACTCTGTATATTACTGAAATAATTCTACTGTGAAAACACAACCTAACTGCAATGTATCGCCAGGTAATAGCATTAGTTATCACATTTCATCAACTTCAGCACAATACTCAACAATAGCATTTGAATTTAACAATCTCAGTTATGATGCATGGCACATTTGGGCCAAAAATAAAATATAAAATTCAGTCAGTAATCATTTTCTCTCCTTTTAAAAATTATGAAAATGTTAAAATTTGTAGATATTCTCAGATACCCATTTACTTGGAGGACATGGTGCTACCATCAGACACATATGAACAGTCCAAATACCAACCATAAAATGAAAAGGGTGAAATATTTATATAATTTATATTTTATTTCTTATTTATTATGATTCTATCAATCATCAGGTTATAAATAACTGTAGTGATATTAAGAAGTAGCAAAATATTATTTTACTCCTTTAGAAAAACTTAAACACTAAAAATATTATAATTTATAGCTACAGCCCAGAGCTGTAATTATTTTTTAAATTCATTCGTTTCTCATAACCACCATATTTTTTGCCTTAGATTGAACCTAGGGCCTTTTTACTGAGCTACTTTTTAGTCCATTTCAAAAATTTTTATTTTGAGACAGGGACTAGCTAAATTGCCTAGGCTGACTCAATCTTCTGCTCCTCCTGCTCAGCCTCCGTGAGTGCAGGGATTACAGGCATGTATCACCAGGTCTGGCTCAAAAACTTTTATGTTTTTGTTGGTTTGTTCTTCTTATATTAGACTTCTCAAAGCATTTTTCAATTTCATCAAAAAGGAATCATACGTAGCAATTATGTGACTATAAAACTTAGCAACTAACCCAACAGTGAATATTTCAACACTAACATTTTAATGCAACAATATCTAAAATCTAAACAATAATTTCAAATAGTCTTAAATTTTAAGTGTATAAAATCCATATAAAATAGATGTGATACCTTGATTATCTCTTCAGCTCCAATTAATTCAGGAAAAAAGTCAAGTTCTATAAAATTAAAAGCAAAATTATTAAAATTTTTACTGAGTTGTTTCAGCCTTGCAAGTTTACCTTTGAATGAAAGAAAGTACAAATATATTAGCTTTGAAAAATATAACCTCTCAAATTAAAAATTTCAGGTTATAGTTTTCAATGCTCCTGAATACTTACAGCACTATGCAAACTTCTATGTAGGCACATTCAGAACTTTGGTATCTATAGTGATACCACTCCAGTTCCTTTCCCCAACTCTACCCCACATCTTATTGAAGCTAAGAAGGTCAAGGACAGTGAGAATGATATGGCTGAATGAAATGAATTAAAATGATTTTTTTCATCAGAGCAGTTACATTCATCATCAGTAGGACTCATAACAGCAAAGTGGGGAAAGCGCCAGGAATTTTTCTGGAAAGTTGGCAGGATTTCTTTTCTGTGTTTTCTTTTTTTTCCTATTTGGATACTACTTTCTCAAGTTCTTCTGACTGAGCGTCAAGTACTTCACTTTTTATGCTTCAGATCTGTGCTCATTCTTGTTTGCACACAGAAGAATGTTGCCCAGCCTGGGACGACAGCAGGGAAGACCGAAGAGATTGATTCCTGGCATTCTCCCCAGGGAAACAGCCAAGGCTGTCTACGCAAAGAGCTCAGCAATCAGCTTCATTAAAGCCTGTTTTGCTCAACCAACCAGAATCAATGTATTTCTGATACTGGATATTTCAATGCTGAAAAAACACTTGTCAGCAAATGTCAGGAAAGACTAGAGCATGTTCTCTACGGTAAGGAATCCAGCCACAATGCCAAGTTAATGGAGGCTTTTTTTCCTTTTTGTGCAGCACTGGGAATTAAACTCAGGGCCTTTGCACTGAGCTGTACTCCTGGCCCTCTTAAAAAAAATATTTTTAAAGACTGGATCATACTAAGTTTCTAAATCACTCAAGGTGAGCTCCAACTTGTGATTCTACTGCCTCAGCCTCCCAGAGTTCTGGGGATATAGATTTGCACCACCACATCTGGCTCAGACAATATTTCCTAGTCTTCATGGGAGCTTCTTGGGTCACTGGGAACATAGCAGAGCAAGCTTCACCATTATCACAATGATGTCCTCTTTATACAGACTCTCTTATAAACCTCACTCCATCTCTGAAGTTGCTCTGCACTACCTTAATGCTGATTATGTTCTGTTAGGTCTTTATCTGTCCCCAAGCAAATGCTCATTCAATAGAGATTTCAGCTCAAACCTGAACTAACACTAAATGCATCATCATACCAAGGCTTGTTTTCCAGTACAGACTTCCTTTTTATCAGAAAGGTTCTAGATATTAACACATCTAAAAACAAAATATAGTTCTATGCTTGAATTCTATTTAGAAGAGAAATCAAGTAAAATCTAGAATCCAGTTCTCAAGATTTAGGTAAAGTTCATTTAACTCTTTAAATGATTATTTAAAGTAACACTGATTATTTCAGTATTACTTACCCTGAATAACATTCTGTGCTATAAAAATGAAAATACCTCACTAGAAACAACAGTCTTAAAATATAATTATCTTTTTTCTTGTCAGCTGATCATGAATTCAAAAGCTGTTATTTGAGTGGTGTTTTCCCTGTTCCACTTTTGTCCTACACGGCTCCTGTCCACTCTCTGCTTTTTACACTCTCTACTCCTAGTATGTCCGAATGAAAGTGATCGCAATGGACTCAAACATCAGAATTTTTGAAACCTTCATGAAAAGAAACAAATGTTGATTTAACAGTGAGATGCAACTAAAATGTGCTGTAAATAACCTTCAACATGATTTTCTAAAAGCTATAACAAGAGAAGTTCATTCACGCAAAAATCTTCCAATTCAACACAAAACAGCTAAGTGGATCTGTCTCTTTTCTGCCTCTTTACAGTACTGTAACATTAATAAAAGCAAGTAATCATTAGATACTTGTTAGTGATATATACATTACACCATAGATTTTTCTCTAAGAATCTACAAAGAAATCTCAACAATTTTCCACTCTTAGTATGCCTAAGAAAATGTTTTAAAAATTTTAAAGCATGATCTAACTTCACCTGACTATATGTTTTCAATTAGCAAGGTAATTTTCATGTTTCATTGGAAGGGTCAGGTGAGGTACATTTAATTATCATATTCAGGATTGATTTTTTCAGTACTTTCCATGAGTATTTGAATTATTTTTACCCCTTTACTACAGCACAAATTAAATGGATTATGGTTCCTATAAGAGAAAAGCCAATATTTTAGTCCAATCACAATCCCCAAAGAGTATCGGTGGCTTCTATGACAACCGAGTTCGCTGTTCACTGCAGAAAGAAGGAAGACATTTTCTGTGGGTGTCCTTAGGCTCTGGGACTGAACCTGTGGGCTCGCGTAGCACTCTGAGACCCTTCTGACCCATGGCGCTATATTATTATAATAATAAATAAATATTATAATAATAATAAATAAATATTATTATAATAATAAATAAAAACTAGTCTAACATCAGGTGCCTTTTCAGTGGTGTGTATAAATTCACTTTAAAGGATCTTCATTCTGTTCTCCAGCTTAACTCAGATCATCCTGATGGGCTGAAATTGGGGCATTTCCCCGGAACACCTCCACTCTCCAGAATCCAGAAGTTTTTGTTGAACTTCATCAAAACAAAGTTGAAATAAAATAACTTTGGAAGGCATAATTCTGGGTCTGCGAGTTCAGAACTGTAGCATGTGGTTGACTGGCACCAGGTCACCAGTTGGTTGAGGTTTCTTACAGAACTGATATTTCCCTGACTGACACATATTAGTATATTAGAGTTTAAAAATGATGCTGGTTTACTGCATATTCTGAACAAAGTAACTCCATGAGGCTAGGAAAAAGTGAATACGATTATCATTATTTTTAGTGAAAACTTAAAATTCACGTTTGTGTCATGACTGAACAAAGTTACTGACCTATTTAGAGTTTGTTTTGGGGCATGTGTAATGTTAGACTGATTTAAGAAATACTGTATTAGTAAAAACATTTGTGTTCAATAACACAAAAAAGGACACTGCTGGGCGTTGACAAGCAAAGCTTATTTAATCATTTGACAGTAATCAAGTTCACACTGTAAAAATTAAAAGCAATATTGACAGCAGTTGCTTCAAACTCTGATTTTAAATGTCGTTATACAGTTCAGTAACACTAACAGCACTGGACGGTACAGGCGGAATAAAGACAGATGAACAGTAACTTGACAAGACAACCACGTACAACTGAACAGCACACAGACTTAGGAAGAGTGTGTTCATTTAATTTATTATTCATTTAAATTTAGCATATGGTTCTCAAGGCCCTGCTTAAAAGATGTCCTCTCCTTGTGCATAATGTGAATTACAGGAGAGAAATGACCACAGTTACCTCAGTTACCATGAAATATAGTCGTGCAATAAATATTTCCAGGGCTTCCTCAGGGATAGCTATAATTTTCTAAAATGTCTTTGAAAAGTATATATATATATATATATATACCTTCTTTATGTTAAAAAAGCTTACTTGAAACAGTTACTTAGTATGAATTTATTTTAAAATAGTAATTTGAAATAATAGTAAATGGACAGTAATTTGTGGTAATAATGTTGTACACAGTAACAAGTACAACTAAAATGCACAGAAAATAAGTTAACCAAATTATCAATTTAAGTGTACAGTTTAATCAAATTAGCAAGTTAAACGCACTGAGTTTTCCCTTCACAGATATTGATTAGAGTATTTGATATCTATGCAAATATTAGGGCAATTAAAATTGCTTTCTTTATTACTTTTAACAAAACAATAAACAGCGCAATATTTATAAAATAGGTTATCATAAATAACAGAAAAATTCAATGGGATGTCATATAGCGTTACTAATGTAATCAACAACATAATCAACAGGATGAAATGGTGTAACAAAAATTACAAAATAAGCAGCACTCACAAGTTTCTATATTAGTCACACAAATAATAAAATTCACTAACTTTTTTAGGCACTAAATCTAGTTGTTTTACCAAATCTCAAGATAGTTTTGCTGTCCAGGCTTTTACTGTGATATACATACCTTAGAAACAATGTGTACAATAATGTAATTTGCGTACTAAGTTGTACATATATAAATTGAAATGCAGCCTTCAAAATGAGAAAGTATAAATTCTAAGGGAACCAATATTGCCTTTAGGAGGAATAAGAAAATCTAAAACTTTTGATGAGTGAGTTTTTCATAGGAATAGTTAAGGAATATTCCACCTAAGTTTGTGAGGCTGGGCTTTAAAGAGGTTTGTTGTGTCAAAACATCAAATCAAACACCATCTCCTACACATCGGTACTGTGCACAGTGCCTTAAGGGACTAAGACATCCATGGAGATTAAGTGACGTGTCCAAACTAGCATCTCATTATAACAGTGGTCAACGGGGTCCTGATCCTTTGAAAAAATAGAAAGGAAGTTATAAATTTATCATTTTGTTGAAATGGGAAAATATTAGAAATGATTCAAGAATGTTATCTTTTTTTGCCCAAATAGACACAGTTTTAAAGAATCACTCAGGAATTACTTTGGTAGAAATCTGACATTTGATCTGCTTTTTCATATGCAATAAGCTTTCTCAAAAAATAAAAAAAAATTCAGAGAGTTGCAAATTCTGGCACAATGGCTAGAAAGAGTAAGTATAAATAGTTTAATGCAATTATTTTTATAAACTGGAAAACTTTTATGTACAGAAAATATGTGTTAATTTTTATGAATATGTATTTTTGAAATGTATTAACTGTGGGGTGCTGGTACATAAACATCGGCATCTTGGTCTTTTTACTTTTTTTTCCCTTCCTCTCCCTCCCATCTTCCCTCCTCCCCAGATCTTCTTTCTCTCTCCCTGCTTCCCATAACCTTTCTTTTATTTTGCTTTTTAAATTTGGGTTTCTTCTATAAGACAAGCCATGCAGTATTTAACTTTCTGTGTCTGATGTATTTCACTTAGCATTATGGACTCATGGTGCATCCGTAATTACAGCAACATAGTTTAACAAAGATAGCAAAATTAAGTGAATACATTCAACATAATTTGAATGAAAACACTAGGGTAGAGAAAATTTTTTATATGCCACACGTTAATCTATTCGCTTATGGTATTGGCTAAGATGGTCAACGCTGTACTAGTAGCAATGTCATTTTCCAAATGGATCAGTTTGGGAGTGTTGTCATTCAGTGGAATGGTGAGATATGGCACAGTTAAAAGCATGGCCACTGGCTTTGATACCCACCTTTCTATAAAATTTAGAGCTTGCTGAAAGCAAGAGGAAAGATGTATTCTGTACTTTGGAAAGATGTGTATTATAACATTCAGTGCCTTCCATACAGTTCTTATCATAAAAGTTCAACTAGTTTAAGCAACTCTGCAATGATAATCAATGAACATGTACTTTATTATGGTTCCTGTAGGATTAAAGTACGTGCTACAGCATTTAGACAATAAAAGCGAACTGCTGCATGGCAGTTTTTTTTTCTGTACATAAACTAACATGTAATAAATATGATTTGTAACTAGTCATTTATATTAAAATGTGTAAAAGTTTTAATGAGTATATTCACGATAAGAATGACCAAAGAATATTTTCATTGAACATATGCATATATATGAATATATATGATATATGTGTGTATACACATAAATATACATATACATTCTTTGATAAATATGTAAATACACATTTCCATTCTATTAGTTGAAATCTACTTATACTAGCAAAAGGAAAACCCATTATGTAAACTTGCAAACGGTCAAATTTTAATGGTCAGCTCTTTATTCAGTTATTGCATATGCTTGAGATCAAAAGATTTTCCTGTAATACTTACAAAAGATGCATGCTAATGAAACATAATTAGAAATAACTTTTGTTTTTGGGGAAAAGTATTGGCAAATCCACAAACAGAAAAGCACCCCTGACAAACTTATAAAATGAAGATAGAAAAGGTAGGATGGACTATTGAGAGGCTTTGCACAGAATTTCAAAGTACCTCACATGATCTCGGGATCATGTACATACTTACTACAATGTGGTTTGGGGGCTGAAAGAGGAAGTAAACACAATGAAACCAATTCTTAACTGTCCAGAATAACAGCTTCAATATTTACATAAGATGCCACATTTGATAACCACTACAAACATGAACAGGTTTCCTTATTACTTTACAAATGAAAACGTAAGTATAATAATAAATTTATTCAGTGTCTTGCATTAGATTACCTGACTCAGAAAGAGATCCCATGTTTCAAAAAGTTACCTGGCAAGCCAGACTTAAGGAAAAATGTTTTCGCCATTTGCTAAACCAATATAAAGTCAGGAGAAAGCACCAGGGCATTCAGTAATCAAAGCAGCCTCATTTTGGAAAACATAGCAGTGTATCAAGGAGGTACTTACCAGCACCATCGGCAGGCATGTCTACTATAAGCTGGTCACTGTATTTTCCATATAAGCCATTAGTGCATATGGCTACTATTTGAAGAACATAACTCATGTTAGGTAGTAAATTATTGAGAATAGCACCCTAAAAAAAAGATATGAGTAACTGTACAATGTGCTATCCTCAGAAGAGTACTAACACATTAGACAGCTGTCCTACGTAACTGTTCCTCATTTGCAATGGGACACATTTACATTTTATCAAGGTGAGAAAAACCTTATACACTGCTGTTAAATATAAACTTGTCATGTTTGTGAATTATGAAGATACTAAGAAACAAGGTAGTTCTCCGCTTTTTTGCAGTTTAGTTTTAGAAAGTTTTATCTTAAAAAGAAGTCTCCAGATTTATAAATGAGTAACACAAAACTAAAATTAACATTTTTTAAACCAACAATGTAAAGCAATTGCAAATAAGGATAAAAATATGAAAAACTAATTTATTTCTTCACCTGAAACATATATATCCAAAGCAATAATAAAATTCTCTTTTGTGCACAATCATAAAATGAAACAAAGTTACACAAATTCTACAGTTTTCTCATACTACAAAATCTCTGTATTCTGTGCAACTGAATTAAAAGTTATAATTCTATGTGTTTTGTTCATATGCTATTAAATATAATAATGATGTCAGTTTTATTTAAACAAAAGTTCCTGGGACTCGCAGGACTACAGCTGCCTAGATACACACTCCAGTGTCATTTCGCCTGCGGTGGTGCCTTCCCGGAGCTACATCCAGGCAAGGTTTTCTTGACTTAAATCACATTACAACCAACACTTTCCTACCAAAACAGGGTATAACACTAGGTGTTTAGGCCACAGAAGGAAATTGTACTTTATTTTCATTAATTTGTATGCATGGGTGGAAGGGGAGGGGTGGACCAATTGGTAAGAATAACCTGTCTTTTTACATCCCCAAAGTTCTGACCTAGTCATCACTTACATCTTTTACTGAGAAATCTGATACAAAGCAGAGGACTTTTGGGTCTGCTACTCTATTTTTTCTGTGCTGGTATGGCCTCGTAGAAGAAGCAATACACAACACATCAGGACTGAGAGTCTAAGCTCAATTCTCCCCATAACTGTGAGATCCTAATTAGAGTATTTAACAATCCTCTAAGTCCCTTTATTTGTCAAAAGAAGGCACACTATATGATTTCCAGTTCATAAGTTTTTCCATATGTAACTGCTCTTATAAGGTTGCAAGGTCATGATTTTTGCGCAATTTACTTTTAGCTTTTGACGTAATTTTTTAAGTTTGTGCTCCTTATCAGGGACTTTCATACAAAGTCTAAAGTAACCAAAGAAAACAACATACAGTCATTTGTAAGCCCTTACTTTTGACATTTAAACTATAAAGTTATCATGCATAAAACAATTGGTCTTATAGTTACCAAGTCTTGATAGCCATCTGTCAAAAATTCATGCTTGATTTGGTCATCTCCCTCCAATTGCTGGTACACAACCGCAAATTTCTCAATCATGGTATCATAAACCACTCGAGGTCTTTCCCATGTAACAAGAAGGCTAGTATAATTTTCTGGGTCTGCCTGCACATTTTCTGGTTCTGAACTACAAACTTTAGAGAAAAAATGAAAGAATCATTAACACAATCATTGCACTCTGGGGCTTTCCTAAGTAAAACACACTGTGAAATTTTTTTCTTTGGTTTTATTTCAATGTCAGGTAAAAAGTTATACAAGTTATACTTCTGCATTATAGAGGTTTTGTCCATGTTATTTTTTGTATATAAAATGGTAGCAGTCATCTTTTGACTATGACAACAAAAAATTGTGCCAGGCGATTTTATGAAGAATAGCAGGTCTGGGGCTGAGATTTAGCTCAGCAGCACAGCACCTGCCTGGCAAGCACAAGGTTGTGAGTTCGATTCCCAGTACCGGAAAAAAAAAAAAAAAAAAAAAAAAAAAAAAAGAATAGCAGGTTTATTTGGCTTCTCATTCTGATGGCTGGAAGCCCAACGTCATAGTGCTGGCTTTGCTGAGGAGCCGACTGGTTACAGTGTATCCAGGATGGAGTAGATGTCTGTCTGTGTCTGTATGAACTTCCTCTCCATCCATCTAAAGCCACCAGGCCACCCGGACTTAGTTGTGGGAGCTGCATGACCTAATCTAATTATATCCCAAAAGGCATCACCTCTAAACATCACAGTCAGATTGTCTCCACCCTCTTAATATCATCAGTATAAGACTTTGAGGCTTAAATATCTGCATCAGGTTAGGAGGGTTCCTCATAGCAAAATACTCTCCCTGTTTTTCTTTCTGTCCAAACCCTACCTTTCCACTTAGAAAAAGTCTTAGTCAAATGCTACCCTGTCTATGATGATGCTCTCATCTCTGCTGAAGCGATCTGGTTATTTTCATGAGTGTTTCCCAGTATTACTGCATTACTTTCACATGCTCATACTACTTTCTCCTGAACATCTTGCTCCTCTAGGAGATCACAAACCCAACAGCCATAGCACCCTGTTTCTAGACTGCCTAGAACACCATCATGAACATAACTGGCCCACAAGTTAACTTCTAAAAACAAATAGGCAAAGGGCATCTTCGTGCTCACTGTGTCTTTGTCTTTTCAGGGCCTAACAAATTTAGCTTAGGACTGGGCTAAGATGATTTGTTTCTGGGCATTTTGTTACTAGGGATTTTTGAAATAATTACTGATTCCCAACCTGAGACAGCTACAGAACAACTAAACCTATCATTTTAATATTTTTTCATAACTGCTGACAAAAAAAACCTTCCCTTTGGCATAAATTGGAAAGTTTGCCTCATCTGACCAAAAGTGTGAAAAGCTGTCCGGAGAATTCTTAAAACGAATTGAAATTCACACTGGGAATCATGCCAAAAATTTAGTCCCATCAGAAAGAGTGCTTTGTTACCTCCTAACGGATATTTATAGGCTGGGTTGATAGCTCAGGGGCCTGCCTGGCAAATGTGAGGTCCTGAGTTCAACTCCTAGTACCAAAAAAAAAGTATTCATAATGCAATTGTTTAAATCAATATTGAGGACAAAACTTATGTGATTTTTTCCATATTGTTAATGAAGCAAAGTGATAAATGTAATCTCTTCACAGGCCAGACAGATTTACAAAGCAGAAGAAAAGATCTCGCAGGACAAAGTTTAATTAATAAGTTCACAGTGTGCAGGTTTTATTTTCAGGTGACACCTGGAGTTACAAAGCCAAAATATGGGAGTGTGCAGCTGACTTAGTTCAACCAGCTACCATGGATACCAAACCCATAAGGACCTGAGGACGGTATGCCAGCAACTGCATTATAGGGTGACCAGATGTCTTTTGCCTCTGTTGGTCTGTACTTCATCTCATGAACACAGGAGGGCACCCACAAATAACAGTTGGCTGAATAAACTGAAGCTCAAATTTCGTGTGTACTAATCAGTACTAGCAATTTTAGCATATGCACTCTATGATGACAACAGTATATGAGTGATTCATAAAATATATATATATAATATCTAATATATATTAAGTGGATATCTATGTTATTAACAGAATTTTTCACTGTAAGCTCATGAAGTAATTTTTTGTTTAGGGAGAGATTAGGTTTAGTTGCCCCTTTGTAGTAAGAAGGTAATTCTTTCATTGTCAAAAAACATTGATTCAGACAAAGAAAATGTCTTCTAATTTGTTTAAAGTACATCATATGCTACCCCACGACACTTCCACTTATGCCCACCAGATGGCAGAAGACCACAGAGCCATCTTCAAAGTGAGCTACTCACACAAACTATTACTACAGAAACAGGATTGCCTCATGCTTGCTGCTAGTGAATCCTAAATTCATTGTGAGATCGTGAAAAGTGATTCTGGACAATATAATTTGTAGACTTTGTCCTCCTAATCGATCCTACTTTTTAGAGAGAATATATTCAAGATGAAAATATTTAAAAATTCATTTCCTTTATACATATACACAAAATATAAAACTCTCTTGAGAAAAATATGGAAGTATTAATTGGTAAGTACCCAAAAGACTACTGTCTAAATAGGAAAAACTAATTTGGTTAGATGTCTATGCTTGTCAGGCCTTACGACAGTAGCAACCAGAAAATGCTTCACATTTTAAGAATCAGTATTTTTCCTATTCTTTCCAAGCAGAGTTTCATTTCTTGTCTTCTCCCTTATGAGCCTCTAAGAGTTTTTTGTTATTTCTTAATATCCGGAGCTTATATTTTAAGTATTAATTTATTTGTAGATCTTTTTTTTGTTTACTGATTATCAATAGCTCAGCAATATGTCATAAATCTGCAGTTAGGTCTTGTCTCATTGTTGAAACAGAATTATATGGGGGAAGACACATGTACTTTATCTTTTTTTGTTTGTTTTTTTGTTTTTCTCCAGTACCGGGAGTCGAACTCATGACCTTGTACTTGCCAGGCAGGCGCTGTGCCGCTGAGCTAAATCCCCAGCCCCGACACATGTACTTCAGAACGACTTCAAGGGGGCTGGGGATTTAGCTCAGCGGCACAGCGCCTGCCTGGCAAGTGCAAGGTCGTGAGTTTGATTCCTGGTACCGGAAAAAAAACACCAAAAAAATTAGAACGACTTCAAGAGAAAACACTTCTATTTCTCTGCTCTGTGACCTTGTCAAAAGTTGGTCCTACAAGACAGAGCTCGTCTTTTAAATAACACTCCAATTTATTCCATATACACTAGTCCATATTTACATATAAGTCTGGGTAATGCCCAATAGAGAAGTGGTTAATATGCACCAAAACTTTCATGTTTCCCTTTATTTCCTATTGAAAGTCTAATTATCTTATTAAAATGATATAAATTCTATGTAGCACATTATCTGCACTGAAAATCAAGGAGGGTCTTCAGATCATGAAGTAATTTTTTGTTTAGGGAGAGATTAGGTTTAGTTGCCCCCTCAGATGTGCTTAGGTGCAAAGTGCAGGCTACCATAGAATAAGGTAGAAAGCAAAGAATGGTGAGTTCAGAATGCTGCTGAGCTTTCACTCCTTCTCCAGGACTGTATCTTACATTCTGATTCCTTTCCAAAACCATATGGGATCCGGGTCATAGTTCATTCTCCAGGGAGCCCTGGCCAAGAAGGAGAACCTGGTTCCTGCAGGCCGCTGGCTCTGAGCCAGGCTGTGATATATCCCAGGCCCATGTCAAGTCACAGTGCTTAAGAACATGTTTCAATACCGGGCACACGCAGAAGATCCTCCCTACGAAGGCGCCCCTTATCAGAGAGCTATAAATGTTCTGGCTTTAAAGCATTTTCAACATTCCACCGTCTTCTGCTTGTTTCAGGCACTACTTACTTAGTGCCAGGCACTCTGGACAGATAATGCCGAAGGTGCTGTTCTTGCCGTTAGGAAGCTCATTCCTGTGAATGCTTTATAACCTTTAAAGTTAGTAAGGCCTAAGATACAATGAATGTCATTAGTTTCCAAATTCTGAATTCCTTTCATAGAGGAATGGATAACAAACTGGAAAAAATGATCTGCTACTTAGATCAAGTTAATTAGTGCTTGTCAAAATTAAACATATTTCCCACTCAAAGAGGCAAAAGCTTTATAAACTTTCAGCTGGCATAAAGAACAGTGCTTACCACTTACCCTGTTGTCATTCGCACGAAGAAAGAATACCTATTACATAGGAACACAGATAATTTGTGGAAAAAGTACCAAAAGATTAAGAATTGTCCTGAAGAAAAAGGGGAAAAAGGCAGAGGAAATAGAAAAACGTGTACTCCTTAGCTGGGACAAATCTGTCTGTTAATCAGGAAAGATGACATAGATGGCCAGGCAGTATGAGTCTCCTTTGCCTTCCTTGGTCTGATCTGCCTCTAGGGACAAGGTGCAGGCTGAGCTCCCTCTATTATGACCAAAAATGTGGATGGACAGGAAAAGACGGGGAGGTGGTTCTGAGGAGTGGCAGAGAAAATGTCATAATTACCCGAGACTACACTGTGTTTGACTCAGCTATTTCTCACTCATTTGCAGTTCATAATTGGTGAGTAAACACAGCTCAATACAAAAGTACTTCGTGAACGTGTACTTCAAGATCCAACACATCCTTATTTGAGGTTTATGAGCTTCATTTAAAATAATATTAAGATTGGTAATTTGATACCTACTCTGAGAGAAGCTTAAAGACTCAAAGACCTAGAAGACAAACTGCAAGTTTATGATTTCTTCTCAGGAGTGTTGGACATTAGTAAAGCTAATTTCAACACTGACACAAATGTTAAATATAATAATTGGGAAGTCCTATCCCTGTGTAGTACTTCTGAATGATCAAACTTGCAAATTCGACCTACTTCACAATCTTCTCCCTGGACAGGGTAACACAGCAGTTCAATTTTTAATACATAATCTTCTAAGAAGTAAGTAATCTTCATTTTACTTCTCTGAATGTAATCAGAGTATGACATTTACATACACGTGACCTTAATGAAAGCTGTTTACAACTACTGCCTTTCAAACAGGTCACTCTGCTAATGCACAGTTCATCAAGATCCTTTTGAGGAAACAGCAGAAACTTTCATACAGTTCAAGTACATCCGGATACAAAGACTCTCCTAT